TAGTGTTTGACAAATGGTAAAATGTACTAAATTTTCTGTACGTTTTCTAATTTTGACATCTGCTTACTCAACTGCCGGCATTTAATATGATAATATCTGCTAATCATGAAAGTCGCTCATATCTAACACCCGACCGCGGATCGGCAAACCTATGAGGAATACTAAGTGATCAAGGAGTACTACACGAATGCTAAATGCAAGATTTCAAAATGGCCAAAAACATTTCCCATTTCGAATAAGACCAAGCTTGTCTGTCGATTTTCGTGTTGACCGTGCATTTCATACTGTGCATGTTTTTCACGTTATTTCAAGTTTGAAATGAATATTTGTGATGATTTTGGGGATAAATATGAAAAGGGAGAAATGCCTTTCAATATCATCTTAATTCCTTTAGAAATGCATTTTACTTTTATATAAAATAAGTATTTATGTTTTTTAAAGCTACATTAAATAAATATGTTAAAACATTTTTGCCGTCGGCCTAAAAACCAAGCATTCTACAGATTCATTAACCTTTTTAATAGTATTGTTGTAAATCTCATCAAATATTGTTCATAAATTAGGATTTTAAATGGAAAACCCCACGGTAACACTAAAGTTCGTATACGAATTTTAACATGCAAATGAAGACTATAATCAGCTCGTGTATGCGCTATATCACGGTGTTATAGTTGCTATCCGGAACACAGCAAATATAAGATTTTCTTGTGCAAACACACTTTTACCGTTAAAACTTCACCGTGCACTAGGCCTGTGGTTCAGAAAAAATAATCATCTCATAAAAAAGATTAAATTTGTATGAAAATATCCGTTACAATGCGGAAATATACCGTTAAATTAGGACTGCTACTTATAGTCATGTTTGTTGATTTAATATTGATGTACGGATGATCTGAAGGCGGAGTTTCTCATGCAAACAGAAATTGTACTTCCGAATTCGCCACAATGAGGTTGCACATTTGTATGCTCATTAAACTCATTTTGGTTGTCTGGACACCAAAATAAGATCTGAAGTCGATATGAAACCCAATTTATTAATGAAATGTCCTATTTCTTTTTTTATGAAATTTATTTAATGTAACTTTAAGTGAATATGTTTGAATTTTTGAGCAATAAGCCGTAACCAAAAGGTTAATCAAGGCGAAAACATAATCGAAAACATAACCAAAAAGGTTAACCAACGCCGACACGTTTAGCTTTTCATTAATGAAAAAAATCATTTCTCGGGAGTAAATAGTTAGCTGTCATTTTGTCACGGAGGCCCCTCATACCTTTTGATATAAATGCAAATATTTTGTTAAACAATAGCTGAAAGTAATGACATATGATATGCAATCATATCAAACATCAAACACATATCAATTTCCGCCGCCTAATTCCCTTAAGTATGCAAGTCATAAGTGATTGCATTTGGAAACCCGTTGAACATTTCAAAACGAGGCAATGTCAAAACCCAAGTTAACCATTTTTTACGTCCCCGCGAGGGGTTTGACATTATCGGAAGATAGATAACAACCGCATGTACATTTATTATTAGAGCAACCTGATTAATAAAATCAGCTCCTAACTAACGATACGCTACAAGTAAACATAAGATTTGAACTTTTATCATGTTGAAATTAACTGTACATTGTAGTCTATTAAATTTAAATGCATTGGCTGCGGTTGTATTAACCAATATATTAGCGAAACAAAGTAACCACAAATTAAATGATATCATATTCGACATTCAAGTATAATCTTTCATAAGCATCAGCTTAATTGTTATGTCACTGGTTTACTGTATGAAAAATTGTTTGGTCTTTGGGCTCCGGATCAGTGGGTTTGAGTGCTATATTTTCCTTGAATACTTAAGTTGTTCAGATGTGTGTTGAAGAACATCAGTCATTGATAAAATAGAGAAAAAAGAACCCCTAAAGAAAGTCCAAAACGGCAAACTTGAAAATGTTGCAGGTTCCGTTTGATAAAGCCCAAATTAACACTGTCCCGGTAATGGCCACGGTATCGCTACTGTGTCTTAAGCTGGTGAACCGAGGTGTTCCGTGGTGTTTTTCTGAGAAATCAAATTGCGTTTACACATCCCCGACAGAGCCCAGGTGTATTCCCGGTTCAGAACCCGATATAGCACCGGATATATACGATAAGCGCCGATGTTAAATCGGTGTATTCCCGCTTGATTCCGGTGGAAACCCGACTAGACACGGTTTCATTACGGTCCATCCCGACCATCGCCGTTTTTGCCACGGTGATGCTATTGATGATGCCGGTACTGTGCCGGTGACGCCCTGGTAATACACCGATGCTTCCTGTTCAAGTTTATGAGAATAAAACTGACTGACCACGCTGACATCAGTCATTTGGCAAAAAGACAGCAGAGATGCCATCCGAAGGAAAGGGGATGGAAGTTAGAAAAAAACTGTGTCTACAACACCTTCAGAGGTTGAGGTACCTGAAGCTGAAAATGCACCAGCTGAAGAATTTTTCCTTCTCTCATTTAACAAATTCTTCATGCCCGTGTTCCTTCTCTAAACAAAATGATCCAAAGTAGCACTTCAAGTTTATATATTCCTGTTCTTTTAAATTTCCTGTATCGGCATGAGGTCGTTTACACCACCGTCTATCATCGTTGTATAACCGTACTTGTCTGCAATATCCGGGACATTACCGGCTCCAACCGGAGCGTTGTTGCCAGTGACCTAAATGTAATCTGGCTCTACCTCTGCCTGTTTTACCGTGGCAACATCTTGTCATCACCGGGACTTTGCCGTTTGGACATTGATTGACACGCATCCCGGTTTACTACGATCTGTCACGGTATGGATGCAGTATAGATACGGTGGTTTCCCGGCAATTCCCTGTTACACGGATTTGGGCTTCCTCTAGGTGAGTGCCGGTGAGCCCCGGTTGTATTAAACATTTGAAGACAACCGTGGTGATCTCTCAGTTTGTTCCGGTTCACCATGGTTTCCTTTACTTCACGGAATTTCAACGACCCAACGCCGGTTTACCACGGTTGATCATGGTTGACTAAACCGTGGTAATCCAGGACACCAAACCGGGACTGCGTAAATGGGGCTTAAACCGCCCTAGTATGACTGTATTACTATTAGTACTAGCAAGAAAAAAGAGGTCTTCAAATCCATGAAATTACTTAAACCGAATTCTGATCGCGACAATATCATAATTCTTTTAAGATGTTGTTCAATCAGGGTAATAAATGAAACAAATGAAAAATACTTATCTATTGAGACTTGAATTTCAATTGTATCTTTCTAGAATACGCTTTCTAGCGTCAATATTACATTATATAACAGCTTCAAATCCTCGATATTTAGGTTCATAAAAGAAAACAATTAAAACAAAGATACTTTTTTGTTAAATGGCAATTACAGTAAAAATAACTATGAGAGCGTTTTAAATTAAAATACTACTACTTTTAATCATGATTTTAACATGAATTTATATCTTGCGACATATAACGGTAGTGTTGCGACATATAACGGTAGCGGATATTCGTGTTAACATTGCGACATTTAACGGCACATGATTTTGCGACATTTAGCGGCAGTTGCGACATTTAGCGGTATTGGTGCGACATTTAGCGGTAAGTGCGACATTTAGCGGCGTTGCGACATATAACGGCGCCACAAACTTTCAAATATTATTAACAAATCTCTGATGGAACCACCCCCCCCCCCCCCTTTAAGGTTTTTTTTAATTTTTTTAATTATGCTTCAAAAATTCGTATCTTTTTAATTCTTTAGAAATGTAAACATGTGTTTAATAATGTTTTGATAATGGATTGAAAGCATATAACATGTTATATAGTTAAGGAAAATAGCTCTGAGCATGTACTTATATGGTGTAAAGGCAGCAAAATGTAAACAAAGTAGAAATTTGACTGATAAATAATAAATTATTAATAATATAAACCTAAATATGACGTTAACATTTCTTTTTGAAAAATAAGTTTTATAACCAGCAATACTATTTCAATCAAATGCTTATTTCTTAGACATTCGAACTGACCACCCGTACGGTTCGGAACAACACTAGAGCCTCCTGTTGCTTTGCTTACAAAACACTAAAAAGATATGAAGTATTCCAGAAATATGGACATTTTAGATCATCATTTAAGACACATATGAGCCATGTCACGACAAAACCAACATAATGGGTTTGCGACCAGCATGGATCCAGACCAGCCTGCGCATCCGCGCAGTCTGATCAGGATCCATGCTGTTCGCTTTCAAACCCTATAACAAGTAGGGAAACTGATAGTGAACAGCATGGATCCTGATCAGACTGCGCGGATGCGCAGGCTGGTCTGGATCTATGCTGGTCGCAAACCCATTATGTTGGTTTTGTCGTGACGCGGCTCAAATATAGATTATAAATCGTTTTATGATTGTGCCTATTCAACGGTTAAGTTAATAATTCAGCAGCGTAGTTGTTATCAAGCCTGCTTCACACGTAGAAGGTCCTGGGTTCAAACCCCAGCGCGACCATCACACCCCTCCCTGCTTTATCCGCACATCTCTCTTCTACCATGAATAATTGAAGAAGTAGGAAGAAAAGTTTAAGAAAATGAACATATAATAGTATTACATATAATTTTACATGCTCTTATAAAGTTGTAAGTATAATGAATAATCGGGAAATCGTCGTATTCATTTATTTTAAATTTACGTACAAATTCATATTCCTCAACTGATTATTTTGCGAGTGTTACCGAGGATTTAATGCCTCATATGTATTGATTCAAATATTGTAGCTCAAGTCTGCACAGACGAACATACAGACAGACGGACAGATAAATAGACAGACAGACGGTCAGACAGACAGACATACATTCGTGATACACCCAGACCGTCGATTGACCTGTCGTGTTACATTAGTGCAAGGAAACAAGCAGACAGACGGACGAACCGACAAGTAAACAAACATCAATCTGGACGATTATAAACACACGGGGTCATTGTGATACTATATCTAAGACATATTTCGGTTATCTTAAATTATCTATGTAGGCTACCTCATGTCTGCTTAAATTGAACAGATGAAGAAAGTGTGATATTAAGAAGATATACACCATAAAAATAAATTATTTAATGAGGGTTTTATTAAACGATAATCCGCTGTGGACGTGTTGCAATAATTGTGTAAAAGATCTGACTGGTTTTATATTGATGTTTGATACTTGGAGATTTATACTTGTACAATAAGAACCTCAATATGGAATCTAAAAACTTACGCGGCATTTTCTTTTGTGCATTGATATTACTATTAATCTCGGGTAACTATATATATTTTCTTTGTTGTTTATTAATGAACCATTCCTATTTTTGATTCAAATATTTCTTGTGAAAAAACATGAACTGATATTCTTCTTATTATCAAAATCGAATTTATTTTATATTTATTAAGGCATTTACATACATTCTTGCATAAAAACTGCGCACGCAGGTATACATTAACAGAGAAAACATTAACGGATAGATTCTCGTGACCACTCGCCATTTTTGCACGTTGACTTTGTATTTTTGTACTATGCGTGACTCAGGGCATAGTGAAAAAACAGCTTAATTCAAAGACGGCCCCGGTAGTTTATTATCAAAACAAAACGGTCAAATGTCATAGCACTAGCATGCGGAAAGCATGGAGCAATCGATGGTTTTCTTAATACGAAATACAAATACATATGTAATCAAATCTAGGAAGTACCGATTTAGACGCATACTTTTATGCAAAATATCGCTAATGCACCTTTTTCGTCCATTAACATTTGCAGAAGCCCATGAATTTATCTGTTGACCCGGACTTCAAGTGCGTACTCGTGCTTCTACAGATGTTAAGGCACGAAAAATGTGCATTGTTACTCTAATATTATGTATAAAATATCACAAGTTACACTTCATAAAACTGTTGTCTCGTCCAAATAGTTCATTGTAGGCGGACTTTGACGAAACAAAACTACTGCTTCCGCCTGTGTAATGAAAACCGAAGATTAGCATTAAGGTGGACTATTGAAGAATACTCAGTTCACTTTATGGAAATATTCTGTTTTATATTTAAGTGTGACACATTTACATTTCAGTATATCAAAGCGATGGGCATACTTTAATAAGAACTCGGCGCAATGCATTCCAAATGTGTAACCTCATAAATAAATACACGGGAATCTCGTGCTTTAACTATAACCCATATGGATGTTTCTGCGGTTACGGACAACGTGGCTCAAATCCAGTCGACGCGGTCGATAGGTAAAATCTAGTAACTGTCATATTTTCTTGTTACATAGCATAACATTGGCTTTCCTTTTATAGTCAAACCTGAGTTTGCGGTCCAAACCCCAAATAATTATCATATTATGAAATCTATCGTGTTTCTTTGTCTAATATAGTAAAGTACAGAGACCACCTGCAAAGAAAATACATTTTCTCTCTTATCTTGTTTCTTGACTGGTCGTTAGAGTCAGGTTTGACTATATTAACTATAATATTGTGAAATATCAATGGGTTTATGGACAGACTTATATAAAATAGCTATGATGAAATCACTTACAGGTGCTGTAAGGTACATGACGACTGCTACGGTGAAGCTCATACCAAGAACCACTGTTATTTCTGGAGCGGTATGTTCGTTGGCTACAAAGTGGACTGTGAGGATGATTGTGAATGTCCAGGTATTAATTTAAACTAAAAGTAGTCCCATTAGACTATGAAAGTAGTTCTCCTTTTGCTCCATTTAGTAATAAGCCGTCCGGTTACCTCAATATGTAGAGCGTTGGACCGTGAATCGTGCGACCCGGGTTCGACTATCGGACGGTGCAAGTTACTTTCGTTGTGATTGATCATGAAATCCTTTCTACGGTTATTTGCACTGTACCTTTGCTATGGCACGTACAAAAGTAGTCAGTTCCTTGCGAAAAGCAAGGCAACTGTAAAAAACAACAGTCTTCCCAGGAACGATGCGGTGGCTGAACTGTGCTCTGGTAAATTCAATGTGACTTACTGCCATGATCTGGAGTGAAAACTGCCAACACCACCACTCCATTTAGTACTTTCATCACACAAAGAGTATTAAGATAGAAAAAGTAGTTCCTTAAGACCACAAAATAAGTGTTATTTTTATAACTCAAAAGAGGTTTCTTCAGATACGAAGCAGTTCCTTATTCCTTCAGATAAAAATGTACTTATGTTAGACCAAAAATGTAGTTCCGTTAGACTGAAAAATACCTTAACAGTAGTTTTAAGGTAATTTTTATTTAGACAGATTAATAAAAGTTGTTTCGTTACAACAAAACTGTAGTTTCTGCAAATTAAAATAGAGTTCCTTTAAAAACATAGTTTTTTGAACCAAAAGATGTTTCTAATGCAAACTAGAAAATAATGTCCTTTATCTTTAGTTCCTTACACTCGTAGACAAATGCTTTTGTTTCGACTTTCATTCATTGAAGAGAGATATAGATTTAACATTTGAGCCGCGTCATGACAAAACCAACATAATGGGTTTGCGACCAGCATGGATCCAGACCAGCCTGCGCATCCGCGCAGTCTGATCAGGATCCATGCTGTTCGCTTACAAACCCTATAACAAGTAGAGAAACTGATAGCGAACAACATGGGTCCTGATCAGACTGCGCGAATGCGCAGGCTGGTCTGGATCCATGCTGGTCGCAAACGCATTATGTTGGTTTTGTCATGACGCGGCTCATTTATTCATTCTCATGCTCATATATCCGACTTATCAGTAAGAGATTTCGGTGCAATATAATTGATATCATCACTGATGAAATCTGTTTCAGATTCTAAATAAGCCAAAATTTTGATAAAAAAAAAACAAAACAAAAACGGACATCACAAAATTATAGACACTTCTATGCGTCAAAGACTGCAAATTATTACGGTAACAAATGCTGAAAATAATGTAAATGTCCATCATTTTAGATAGATAAATTAAACGTATAAACATGTTTTGTTGATTGATTGATTGATTGATTTATTTATTGATTATTTCTTTTTGCAGATCAAGAAAAGTGTGCCCGTAAAGTGTGTGAATGTGACGTTAAATTAGCACAGTGTTTAGGCGAGTCCTCATTTAACGCTACATTTAAAAACTACGATAGAAGCCAATGTTTTTGAACGTAATTAAACATATAAGCTATTTATGAGATTAAAGACTTCAACAGGTGTTTCTATGGATACGTGCGTCAAGTGACACTTAGAGAAGAATGCAAAAATAGCCAGTGCTATATTTGTGTTATATACGTTTTCTTTTTTCTCTCTCTTTGTATTTTTCTAAAAAAGAAAAAAAAACAGCTATGTGCCAAATGTTGAAAAAATAAAGAAGCAATAACATTAACAACAACAACAACAACAACAGCAACAACAACAAATAAACAACTAAATAAATGTAAAAATACAATAAGCTGTTAACGAATAGTATTTGAACCGGCTGACTATATGTGTGTCATGTTATATCATAAAAATTAAGGGTCATGTGAATGGAAATAAACCGCACAGACATGCTTGATGGACACACAACTGTGATCATGTCTCGATCAGTGCAGTTACGTGCCGATAGCCTACCAGCTGATAATCGTCTGCTCAAAGTCCACGAACGATAATCATATCAATGCGGTATATAAAATACGATTAGAGTAAAATACCTTGTTTGTTTTTTGTATATCTATATTTGAACAATTTGCAATAAACGTTATATAATAATCCAGTGCAGCTGAAAATATTTTCGTCTGTTTTAATTATTTTTATTATTAATATTATTATTATTATTATTATTATTATTATTATTATTATTATTATTATTATTATGACAAAGTGGGCATGCATGGTAGCATTCATTTTGCCGTTGATTAAACTCTTTATTACACTGTTTAAAGAATAATAATACTATCACAAAATTTATAGTTCTGGTTCAATTATGCACGGAAAGAAGCATATACTACACCAAATGCATATAAAACTGTATCTGTAGTGGCTAATGGTTTTTTTATGGTCCCGTGTACTACTTGTACCCCCCCCCCCGCCCCACCCCCTCGTGCACATTGAGATATACTGGATGTACGACTTTTAATAAAGAAAGGCGAAACGATTTCTGCTGAGGCATTTTTGTGTTACAAATTTGAAAGCTATTTTTTCATAGAGTCCCAAGCACTATTTTATGTCATAAAATATAACGCCACACCAAATCTATTTAAAGACAAAGCGCAGTGATTTACCACTTGATATGTTGCCCTGGAAATGTGTAAGAATCTAGTAAATATTTGCATTGAATTACAACAAAATCATTTTCTTTATAACATACTAAACACGTTTGTAATTTGGATTGATCATTTTAATTTGGGAAAACGAATATATCCCAGGTTAAACAAAGATTTGTCAATAACTTGTAAAGTACACACGTTTTACATGTACGTAGATGTATTGCTGAAATTATTCTCAAATAGCATCAATGGCATCAGGCTTTGACACTAACCTTCTAGGCTACATTGTTGTACTTATATTCTTCTAAAGTCATAATTTTAATATCCGGCTGAATCACAACATTACATCTTGTTATTTGAAGTTAACAAACCGGAAGTCATTATTTGAAGTTAACACACCGGAAGTCATATTTGAAGTTAACACACCGGAAGTCAGGTTGAACAATACACTAACAATGGTAACAAATGGTTGGCGGAGACAGGTCTTCACAATTCTGTGATCGAAATTGAGTACGCTTACACTTAGCTGTACAAAGCCTTATTTTATCTAAATGCTAGTTTTAAGTCTTGGAATAGAATACAGAGTTCATGTTCGTCTTCCTTGTAACTATATCATGCTACACTGGGACATCTAACATGTCACTAATTGCTCGAAAACTACGACGAATAGACGTGATCGATATATCCATCAAAGCAAGCTGCTAAAAGCGAAGCAGCACGTTTACCTAATATGTTGTATATTGTATGACAAGTTTTTAAAACCACAATAATAACGGCAGAATTTACAAACCGAGGAAACATGGTTTAAAAGTCCTTATTTGCTTTCATTGAACTGACTTCATATCACAAGGTAACATATTGTGTTATCGTCTTTTTCAGGCTACAGTTGGAATCTTTTTAACTCTAATTTCCGCAGCTTGATTCGTTTACAAAAAGACTCTCTTTCGATTCATATCAACCAAGGTTGTTTTTATTAACCAAGTAAAAGATGACAGCAAAAGTCCACGAACTTTTTGAACATACCTCATATGTGTACTATGCACAACAAAGTACTATTGATTCAGAATATAAATATACATGTATATGGTTCTTTCCAGTGAAAAGTTGTCAGGCATAGATGAACAAGGCAATTGCATGGTAGATTTTGAATGAAGTTATCAATATTATATTACTGTAATTCACCCCCCCCCCTTTATAACATGCACCAACACAGAACAGGTCAAATGACGACTTTCCAGCTTTACTTGTGATGCCGCCTTTCCGTGCAATATTGCAGGCACAAACGGGCACCTGAGTAGAATCACCGACGTTCTCTAAGCTAGCCGGCTAGTTTCCTCGCATAAGACCAAAGTCCATGTCGGGATTAGCGGATGTCGGACCCACAGCGGTGAGGGGCAAACGGTATGAAGTCAACGACCATCACACGACTACGGACGCCCAGCGTCATTCATCCGCCTTATACGTTTAAGTACTTCACAGCAGCATATGAATAACCCTTCCATTATTTGTACAGGCCGAGAAGCCTGTATGATAAGTAAAACATTTTTCGGTAACAACTCCATTGTTTTTATATTCCCTACACAAACTTGACGACTTCCGGATCAATATTTATAGATACCAAAACGATGACGTAATTAGAAAAGCTCAAGACTGGTGTGAAAATCCTCAGCATTGCGCCCTTTTGTATAATGTCATCGAAATCTTGGATAATTGAGACCTGTGTATTTGACAGCTGTCCTTCAGCATCAATGAATGGACTTTGTAACGCTTTTGGTGTGCTTGTATAAATTAACTTCTCAAAATGTTCAATATCATTCGCTTTAAGAAATTTGTTACTATCATTTCTTTGTTTAGAATGCGACCGAAATAAAACTACAGGCGTGCTGTACCGTCAGCCCAAAAAAAATCTATGGCAGGCACTTGAATAGTTATTCACTTCCCATCCTTTCGCTTGTTGTCAAAGTCATTGTTTTAACTTGTTGTTATACCATACATACATATAAATAATTATTGGACATGCATTTAATTAGGTCAAACAATTCTTGAAGACATTTGTGCTAACTGTTTATCTATACATCGTGTTCAAGTTCTAATGCCGTGTCGCCATTTGCGATTACATTTTGGCATTGAGTTTCGACAAATGACAGGATTATCATATTGTTGAGCATGTTGTTCATCGGATCAGAAGCTAAAACCTTGCCATTGTCTGGATACCAAGGCTGCATACTGTTTTTAATCGCTTACAAAAATGGCACCAAACTCGATTGCTAAAATGAGTCCACGACTATTGCAATAACAACAGATTTCTTTTATTTCCAAATAAACTGAGAGAGAAGCAAAAGTTACAGTTGATTGAAGAAAACAAGTAGTAAATGTAAAAGTTTATAACATGTATAAAAGAAGTCGAAAAAAAAAATAACGTTGTGTCTATGCAAGACTCAGCATCATAATCAGCCTGACAGTAGGTTTGTTGTTGGTTTCAGTTTGGTATACACCGATAGCTTCATCTTCTCCACCACGCCTTTTTTGGCTTCTTGATTTTATTCTCATGTAATTTTCATTGTCTTGATAAGCCATAATTTGCACTTTTGTTTGATCTAAGTTTAAATATTGCTCAAGAGTAAATGAAGGAAAATTATTTATCTTTCCATTTTCAAAGAGGCTAGATGGATATTTTTCACCAAGCTGAGGCAACATTTCTCCGTGTATTTTCCACAAAAATATTTGTAGTGTCCCGCTGGTAGACTGCATAGAAACATATCGATGCCTTCAATATACTGTTGTTGTTTGTTTGTATGTTTTTTTGTTTTTTGTTGTTGTTTTTTTTGCATAAGAGAGGCTATTCAAGTAAGAGAAAACAATCAGCGGAGGAAAGGGGTTAGCTAGCAGAAGTTGCATATCACATCATTCAAAGACAATCGCAGAGTGACAAGTGGCAATAATGAGAACAAGTCAACACTTACATCCGTGATAAGCAAGTTACAAACCCGGTTTGACAGTAATCGGAAAGCTGAATAAATATTTCGTTCTGTCTTTGTCACCATTGAAACAAATTGTTTCGACAATAACATCTTATATTATATGTGAGACAAACCTATTGTCAAAGTCATTCATTTTAGATTGTCGTGTCTTTGTAATACAGTTGTCTGCGAGCCTCTTTATTTTAGATAATAACTATCATTTTACTGTAAATTTACAGAGTGGTTTTTATCAAATATAACTTTGCTTCGTATTACATGTATGCAGACACTTGAAATTTGCTTCTATATATACTCAAAAAAAGGTTAATAAGCCTATGTATAACAGGCATGTGTGTCTTGGGCTGACCAAGTTACTTCTTTCTCTATGTTGAGACCCAGTGCTATGTGGTAAGCGGATAGAAATCTTAGTCATACTTTTAAACAAAACTACATTACACAACTACTTCCTCTAATACAGTAACTGAGACCAGCAACCAATGTCTTCAATGAAGCAAAGCGGATGGTACTACAAAAAAGCAGGTTACTAAGATGCATGAGCACATAGTATGAAGTGCTGTAGGACCCTTTGCTCTACCCCAAAAGCTATTATCAGGGCTACCTTCTTTATAATTGTCTCTGGTTACAACACTTTAGGTGCTTTACAGTGACTTAATTTCGGTTCAAAATTCATTTATCTGGCTAATACCCTGTGGAGATAGCTATGAGATAAATAATCATCACTTTTGTGCTTCAAAATTTAGTCTTTAAGGGTATGATTCGTCACATGTATGGGGCCCGTCCTCGATAGCGAAAACTTCCTTTAGTGCTTTAATGGGCGGATGGACCACTACATATACATACATGGCTGACTGAGTTTGATTGCAGGAAGCACAGCAGGGCTCTAGGCTCTAATAAAAAAGGATTAAGTGGCACTGAGAATTATATTGAAAAATGTTAGACATAATCAAAAGATCACTATCCACGGATATTTATTGTTATTTGTTTCAAAAGTGGTATGTTGAACAATGCATGGTCTTTATTTCGTTTCATTTCATTATTAAATTTATATTGTCAGTGCAATATGGTATATCACGTACTGCCTTCCATAATCAAATGATAAAATCAAGTAAAAAATGTGTATGTTGTTTTTACAAAAGGTATACAGCTATATCTAATTCATGACATATTTTTGTAAGCTTTATAAACAGTAATTGTTACGAGTTGTTTCCCAGCATAGACGGTCCCTTTTACTTTGTTACTTACATACATGAATATTGTAAGGTAAACAAAATAAAATGTTCCAGAACAAAATAATATTCTACTAGTTAAAGTAGGGTTTTAACCGTTTTGCAATTACATCGTGTAGCGCTATTCCATGGAAAGACAACATACAAATCAAAACGTATTTTATAGGTATTTCGAAAGTTTTTTTTAGTAAGAGCTAAAACTAATATTCTAATGATATCTTATACATGTAATTATAAAAATATTAAAGACAAAGAAAAAGAAGATGAAGAAGAAAAACAACAACAAAATCAACAACATTATCATGATGAACAAGTCATATCAAATAACGGATCTTAAAAGTTATCGAGAAAAAAAACTTATTGTGAAATATTAAAAGCGATACCATTGGCGCTCCATGGTTTCAATGAATGAACATTATTCGTTCTCTGTGAAACATTTTAAATATTAAAACAGAGGGAAAGAGACGGGAAACAATACAATGTTTCCGTAATGGAGGATTTCGTATCTTTTTGCATATTGTTTTCCGTATTATTTTCTTGTATATCCGTGACAACGTGTGTAATTCAAAGTGAAACTTTTGAAAAGAAGTATGATTTAATGGGAAAAACATGTCCGCTACAGGACCAATTATTTACTATAACAGTAAATAAAAAAGTTGCCTGTGTGGGTTTGTGTACGCAGTGGGCGGATTGTAAAAGCGTGGCTTATAGTCCAGGAATACGTTCTTGTACCGGATGTAATGGTGAATATGATGCGCTATCTGATATGATAGACCTTCCGGGATCTATGTTTTATTCTTTTGTAACAAATGATATGGGTATGTTGCATTTTATATTCATTTTTGCAACTTTCTAGTATACATTTTTGTAAGTCTGAGAAACATTTCGTAGTTACTGGTAAAAATCTGGTCAAAATCTTTTTTTTTTTTGTGTAGAGATTCTTGTTGAACATATTACATAGTGATTAAGTCACAATACATTGTATTTCATTTAGTTTATTAAAAGATATTTTAATTATGATAACATCATTTTTGCTCAACTATTCTTATTGTATTTTTCTGAGATTTTCCCTTGATTTGCAAAATATCTTAAGGTCCTATTTTTTGTTTATTATTTAAGTTATAGACTGTGGTACACCTACTGTCACCAGCACTAATGTTGTGTTAGGCACATTTTCTGGTAATTCAACTGTTGGTGCTCAAGTACCGTACACGTGCACCCCGTGCACATATTTCCCGACTACGGACTTCCCGGTTATCACGTGTCAGGCAGATGCAACATGGAGCACCCCAGAATGCGTATACGGTATGTTGTTGAAGAATAATTACTGGAACAAAATTTATCAAATTATTACATTTTCCTTGTCATTCACGTTTGTTAATAGTAGATCTATATTTTTCTTGATAATTCATCACTTCTATAGATAATTTCTAGAAAACGGCTATATTGTCTTTTTAAAGCAAACTTATTTATCTAAAACCTTTAATACTCATAAGTGTGTTGTAATATCTGTAAATTATGGTCCCTAAACTCTGCATACAAAATTTATAAATTACTTTCAATATACGCACTATTATTGTATGAAACTATCATTCATTCATTCATTCATTCATTCATTCATTCATTCATTCATTCATTCATTCATTCATTCATTCATTCATTCATTCACTCACTCACTCACTCATTCATTCATTCATTCATTCATTCATTCATTCATTCATTCATTTTTTTTTTTGTTGATACTGATCTTTTTGCTTTAATTCTTAAAACCGGAAGAATTTCATTTCTTTATTCATATATATGTATGGAGATGTACATTGTATCAGGGATAAATCGGTATGTCAAATTCGTTCGTTCGTTCGTTCATTCATTCATTCGTTCGTTCGTTCGTTCGTTCGTTCGTTTATTCATTCATTCATTCATTCATTTTCATTCATTCATTTATTCATTCATTCATCTTTAACAGCCTCATGCAAATAACAAAGTAACATGTTTTTATTTATAATAAAAGTTTCATCGTCAAATATAAACCTGATTGCATGAGATAATTAAACCTTTATTCCTAATACAATGTACACATACTATTTTTTGATGAATAATGAAATGCAATATTTAGTTTTAACAGGGTCTTTCAAGTATAAGACCCTGGTTTTAAGGACGTTTTCGTTATAGACATATTTATAGGCAAAATTAAAACTGTTCAAAATAATTTCATTAAACTTGGCATGTTATGTGATACCCTGTATATTTTCAGAAAATAATAAATAATGTTTAATTTTTATCAAATATTGAATAATTTCAATGTTTATTTTAATAGTTATATATAGCTGTGCTGATTATATAATATCTCTTTTATATTTCATATCTTTCCCAGGTCCTGATGTCGGACAGCTTGCAAGCAAGTATTTAACACATTTAATATAATATAAACAATTTGCTGTGGTAATAATTTTACTATATAAAGCATCATGATATATCGGAAAGCATTTACTTTGCATGAAGAAATCAAAGAGATAATTTTACTATTTCAAAAAATCTTTTGATGATTTCCAACGGAAGTATTGATAATGTTTTTAATATAGCGAGCTTAAACGCTGTAGGCGTTTCCGGTCCATAGCACGTGCCTGTATAGCTTTTATTACAAAATCATGTAACTATTCTACTCTGCGTTCTGGTTAAATCATCAGAGCATTTTATAATAAAGCGAGATAGCATGTCATTATTTCAATTAACTATTACGTCATTTGAGAAATTGTGAGGCATATTGATCGTTTTTGTTTGTTTATTAATTAATGCTCTTTTTTCAATTAAGTTTATTGCATTTCAGATGGCGCGTCGATATCAAATAGTGAAATAGGTAATACTTATTTCTCACATTTGATTTATTTTATTGTGACAATTACCTTTCGAACGTCAATAAAGTCTGCTTCATCTAAATTGAACGGTTCAATCAGTTATAGCAAACATGCTATTGATTAATATCTAATATTTATTAACACTCATTTAAATTCGTGGTCAATATCTCTTTACATGCATTAACATTATTTTCACACAGTCTGTGATATTTTTTTCAAAATGATATATAACTGCATTACTATTAAATTGCTTTAAACATGTTTTATAATTTGGCGTCACAGTAAAACGCGGGTACGGACGTCAATCAGGATTTGTGCCAAAATTGGCACGGATTTAAAGGCTTTAAATTATTAAGTCGTCTTTTGTTTATTTACATATCCACATCTTTAATATTATTTTCACAATGAAAACTAATTCATAACACAGAAATCTGCAAATAAGGCAGGAATGCCGAATTGTGCCGAAACGAACAACGCAGTTCAAAGCAAGGGTAATGAGGTTAAAAATTTAGTGTTTAGCAGCCATGTGCATTTATCCATTTCACTATAAAATAGACCGTCCGTTAACTTATTGCGTTGATCGTTTCGGACATATACTTGTATTACAGATCTTGCGTTACTAATGTACTACCCCTGCGTTATTTTGAAATTCCTGCGCTATTTTTACATCACATTGCTGCGTTATGGAATGTATACACGATATAGAATGATAAACAAAATGTTTAAGATATAGATTAAAAATAAAAATAAAAATATTGTGTTCTTTCTAACACAACCAAATTGTCAATTTCCAAAATATATGACAACATTACAACTTCACAGATCTATGAACTAACGGAAACCAATCCATGCTACATTGAATTCAATTACATTAGTTTGTTGTTGTCAAACTCCGATAAAGAATTATACGCTGCATAACATTGTTTTGCACTCAAGATTCAAGATTTTATTAAGGCACAAACATAATGTTCATTGTCATAAACAAAAATGTCGTGTATAAAAACTTTTAAACATATGAACAAATGCATAAAACATTTAAACACGAGAAAAGTCATATTACATAATATGATATATAATATCACAGTCGTGGAATAAATACTAAGAATATGATAATTAATGTTGGAAATTACACAGTTGGCATTAGCCACCAGTTGTTTCTCTAGCTAAAGTTGCATAGTAAATGAATTTAAACAATTTCTTTATAACATTCTGTTGCGAATTGTTCATACACATTTTTGAACTTTTGTACATTTGGCTAAGAGCAGTAGTATTTAGGTAAATATTCTCTTCGTAGAACAATGTAATACCGACAAGCAAGTCAAAGAAATGATATTCAATTTCCAATACATTCATATTGCATTTTAAACAAAATTGTTGATTTCTTTCAAAATGTCTAAATATTTCTTCTTCGATCATTAACTTATGAGCAGAACATCTAAAATGTGAAATTGGACAGAAATTCTATTGAACCCAACAAATGTAATTAAACTGTTTATCCAAATTTTACATACTTACTTTTTCAAAGCGAGATGAATTTAAAAGAGATAGATAATCGTTGTCAGACTTTTAAAGTTCAATTTTAACAATACATAATGTTTTAGCACCTACGTAGAAACAGAGAAAATACAAGTTCTGTTCATTAACAGAGCATTATTCAAGCAAATAACATCCATACATTATGTATCATTAATTACAGGAAAATACAGGTAAAAGAAAACATTACAGAACATGTATATCTAAAGATCACAAATTTATCTTGACAAAAAATCTTGGCTAAACAATAAAAAGTCTTTCTTGAGTTGCTACTTAGAAGGAGTTCGACTTTTTCCTCAACTGTTTACCAAGGACAGAAATATGGTTTCATTATTTTCTTTAACACAGGCATTCCAGTAAAAATGATATTCTGTTTCCATTACTTTCATTGAATAAGATTTACATTTCCGCTCCACTAGATGAATCTGTAATACATGTTATAACTGAGTATTTTCTAATAACGAAAAGGTTGCGGGGATTATTTTCTACCTGAATCTGTAATAACTGAGTATTTTCTAAGATGGAAAAGGCTGTGGAGATTATTTCTTATATGAAATTGTAATAACTGAGTATTTTCTAATTACGAAAAGATTGCGGAGATTATTTCCTACATGAATCTGTAATAACTGAGTATTTTCTAATTACGAAAAGGTTGCGGAGATTATTTCCTACATGAGTCTTTAATAACTGAGTATTTTCTAAGATGGAAAAGGCTGTGGAGATTATTTCTTATATGAAAATGTAATAACTGAGTATTTTCTAATTACGAAAAGATGGCGGAGATTATTTCCTGCATGAGTCTGTAACAACTGAGTATTTTCTAATTACGAAAAGGTTGCGGAGATTATTTCCTACATGAATCTGTAATAACTGAGTATTTTTAGTTACGAAATGGTTATGGATTATCTCCTCTATATAAATTTGTAAAAACTGAGTATTTTCTAATTTTGTAAAGGTTGTGGAGATTATTTCCTATATAAATTTGTAATAACCGAGTATTTTCTAATTTTGTTAAGGTTGTGGAGATTATTTCCTATATAAATTTGTAATAACCGAGTATTTTCTAATTTTGTAAAGGTTGTGGAGATTATTTCCTATATGAATTTGTAATAACCGAGTATTTTCTAATTTTGTAAAGGTTGTGGAGATTATTTCCTATATAAATTTGTAATAACCGAGTATTTTCTAATTTTGTAAAGGTTGTGGAGATTATTTCCTATATGAATTTGTAATAACCGAGTATTTTCTAATTTTGTAAAGGTTGTGGAGATTATTTCCTATATGAATTTGTAATAACCGAGTATTTTCTAATTTTGTAAAGGTTGTGGAGATTATTTCCTATATAAATTTGTAATAACCGAGTATTTTCTAATTTTGTAAAGGTTGTGGAGATTATTTCCTATATAAATTTGTAAAAACTGAGTATTTTCTAATTTTGTAAAGGTTGTGGAGATTATTTCCTATATAAATTTGTAATAACCGAGTATTTTCTAATTTTGTTAAGGTTGTGGAGATTATTTCCTGTAAATATTTGTTAAAACTAAGTATTTCTAATTATTAACAGGTTGCGGAGATTATTATACTACGACATGTCCACAAAAAGGTCTTGCTGGTAATCTATTAAAATATAATGGCGGACGTGGGGACTGTTTCTGTGATAATGAATGCTGTAAGTCAGAAGACTGCTGCTATGATTCTACGTGTGCTGATAGTGCTCCACCATGATAAACAAAATGACGATGTTGACATTTTTTATAAACTTAATTCGTGTCCTTTAAAACCATTTGTCTGGCTTTAAGGATAGGCATTAGTCATAAGTTACGTTTTATTATTGGATTGTATGTTAAAAACCTAGTTTCGGTCAATTTTCTGTCATGGTATCTCTTATTATATGAAATCCACAAACAGTTGCCGATATTTTTACAAAAATATATGCAAACTTTAACAGGTCTTTTATCTTGTTTTCCTTTTGTATCAACATATATACATATAAATGGTTTACATTTTCTAAATGCTTATAATTTATTCATGGGCTTTTTTATTTTACTTATCATAATAATGTATTGTATTATAACCTTAAATAATCATGACGTTCACCGTGTCATTTGGCTAAATTTCGCTATATTTTGAATTGATGTCACAATAACGTATGTCTTGACGTCAGTGTATGTCATTAACTCGCTTTGTATTATAACTTGGCTATTTGTAACGTCCTTGCAGCAACAAATGAAACATTATTTCTTTCCGCGATCAGTTATTTCTTTCTGTGAGCTTATTTCTTTGTGGGATTGATATACAGAGCTCTATGAACGTTCATTCTTTCTTAAGTAAGTCGCTCTTGAAATTAAAATAAATGAATGATGGATCATGCAGCGAGTGTTAATACACTCTCATAGCATCCAATCATAATTCATTATTTAACAATACATTGTTAAATAACCTATTTCTTCTGGAGAAACCTCAGCTGGGGTTTGTATTTTGATATAAACAAATGCAAGTATATTATCTCTTCAACTGACTGACTACCCAATAAATCCTTCCAAAATTATTAAAGTTTGGATTTGGCATTTGATCTTCCTGCACACTTATACTACCCATCGGCAGCCAGAACCATAAGGACGTTTGAACAGTTTGAACACATCCCAGACCTTACAGATGTTAAATGTATTTACTGTATCACTTGGTTTCTTTTGCTTTCCTTTGTCATTCAGAAAACAACTAATCAAGTATACTGATTTATATGAATTTGATACAACATCTTTAATTGCACCAGAACAGCATGATCAGAAGAAAAACCGTTCCATTATTGACATGTCTGCTGTGACAAGACAGGGAGAGAATTCTTTTCATTTGTATTTGAGCCGTGTCACGACAAAACCAACATAATGCGTTTGCGACCAGCATGGATCCAGACCAGCCTGCGCATCCGCGCAGTCTGATCAGGATCCATGCTGTTCGCTATCAGTTTCTTTACTTGTGATAGAGTTGGTAAGCGAACAGTATGGATCCTGATCAGACTGCGCGGAGGCGCAGGCTGGTCTGGATCCATGCTGGTCGCAAAACCACTATGTTGGTTTTGTCGTGACGCGGCTCATTTTCATCATTTAAGCAATAATTGTGTTTCATTCATCGACAGTTAATAGGATATCTGATGATTTGTTGAAACTGGGACGATGTGACTTTAATCGCTGATTTAGAAATCACTTGCCTTTTGCAGCTTTAAGCTTGGTGTCCATAAGGAAGCTTTACCGATGTGTTCAAGCCTTTGAAGGGCTATCTTATGGGCCTTCGTTCAATTTAATGGCATGGAACATGCATGAATGGGCATAAAATAAACTGCTGTATACTCATATTATACTTTATTGAATTTCCTTTTTAATTTTACAGTGTATAATAAAGTTCACAATGTGCAATAAGTTTACTATTCAGGTGTCAAACAATTTAAATATTTGGCATTGTTCTTGATTTATATATCCTTTTAAAAAATTAAGTGTTTAAGACCTTTTTATTCATGCTAATATTTAATTATTAACAATATTTCTGAAACAAATAAAATCGGTTTACCTTAAAATACCCTTGCTTATGGATTTAAATTGTGAATTATTTTGTACAAATTGAACGTACTATGTATGTTTACAATATCTTTAGTGTTTACATTACAAAAGTGCTCTAGAAGCATTCTACAAATGTAATTTGCTTACATCCTGTTCTATTCATCAAAACAAATTCATTTAAAAATTGTACCTATTCTGTACGAAAATATATTTAACAGTGCCATTTCCACTACTTGTATCCGCTGCCGTAAAGCCTTCTATCTTGACTTGGAGTCAGAAAACAATCTAAGCAGCTAATTTCGTTGCAATCGCAATAATGTTTGTCTGACTTTTGAAAGTACTTGATGAAACGTCTAATTTCATTTCGTTTTGTGGAAAACGCATAATAAGTGTCCTTTTCAAGTAGTAAGATCGGAATTTATTTGTAACTATGGTTTGCACTATCGGGATGTTCGCGTCATGCCCTGTTCAATGCTACATCTCTATATTATTGCTTTACGAAGCAAGCACATTCATTTAGGCGAGTTGCCACAATATGAAGATTCCGAGATAGTGCCCATGTTTCAAGCTGAATATCTATGAAAAATAATTTGCAATTAATCGAAAGACAAGGCAAAAAATCATAATTTAACAGAAAAAAATATGAAAAGATTGAAGAATGTGAATTTTGAAACAATTTGAATAATGATGATTTAATTAAACTTCATAAAAGAGAAAGTTTGTAAGATCCCATCATTTACAAAAAAACAGATTTTTTTTCTCTTGGATAGTTCTACAGTGATGAGTAAATGATTTTTGTCTTTATAGGACATGTAGTAAAAAGATGTGGTCAATACCGCCATTAGACAGATTTATTGAAATTGCGTATACTGGTTTTGAATACCAGCTGAGCAGAAAGTTAATTAAGTGCCGACACTTTTGTAAATTAGGAAATTAAATGCGAGTATAACCTCACTTCCTCTTTTTTAATTAAAATGAAAATTATGTACCCAGAAGCGTCCAGTCTGATGACATCATTTGTTTTGGAGTGATGTTGGGGTAGTTTTAATTTCAAAGATAATGAGACAGACAATTTCCAGGCGATGTTATTTAACAAATATATATAGATATATAGATTGTGCACGATTAGGATGAATACTGTCATTATTTCCAATAGAAATGTGAGATTTTTATGCACCTATTCCAACCAACGCTCGTAGAGATATGTTGCTATTGCGTGCGTTTATATTAAAGCGACATGCCTCCAGATGAGCCAACATATTTCAAGACGATCAAACTTGAGAAAAATGTACTAACTTTTAAGAAAAGTATTCTAGTACGATTAATGATTTTGCTGTACACATCACCATATTTCTACAACGTTACTAATGCAGTAAGGACTTTTTTGCATATTAGAACTGAAATATCCGGTTTCAGGGTAACTGTTTCATTTGTTAAGGCAGTAATGAGTCTATCCTATGGTGGCTCTTTTGTGGCATTTGTGTTTTCGCCCCGAGTCTAGAATTAAAAAGTTATAATGGCAGGGGCGCGGAGCGAAAACATAATAAACGGGGACGCAGATCGAAGTTTAATAAATAGAGGATATTGAATGAGTGTAGGTTTAATACTAAATTTATTGAACGAGTTGAATAAAATCATATTATGCGAGCCTCTGGCGAGCATAATATTGTTTTATTCAACGAGTTCAATAAATTTAGCATTGAATCTACACGAATATAATATTCTATTTATCACAAAATTAAAATAAGAACGGTAAACTGTTAACAAAAGTCATTTTTCTTTGACGAGCCTATAGTGTAACGCTAATATTAGCGCGCTTTAGCGCTATGTTTATAGCGCAAATGACGTCACGTCAAAGTGTTATTACACTAGTGTAATATTGTCTAGTGTAATATCATTTTTATTAAATGGCTTTATTACACTCCTGCACCGCGGTTTATGTGATAAATAACATTTCGCCCCGCCAGGGCGCGGAGCGATATTAAAGAAATTAAATGGCGGGGAGCGAAAACACGCTAATTAGCGGGTACTCGGGGCGAACTTTAATTAATTTAACTCACTGTTCAAAAAACGTCGTTTCCTTAACTTTAGGTTAGGCCAGAGACATAGATAACAGAGATAAGCAGCTCCTATATACTCCATTGAAATATCACTCATGCCTATCAAAAAGTGAAAAATTAGGCGTTTTGTAGCAAATAAAACTCAATGGATGTATATTTGATCCTTTAATATTATATACCATTTGAAAGGTTAATCTTTTATCTATTGCTGCATGCTAAAATATTGATAACTTTCCATACCTTTCACTTAGAAAAACATAGCAGAACATACCCACTGAGCCAGTTTTTTCGTCAAATGAATAGTTTTGTAACAAAAATTAATAGGTAGTTCTCTTTAAAAACTGACGTATCATTTATTTAGATTGGAACTGTAAATATTTTTACCTGCAGCCATAGACAAGTGCATAAGCTTTCAGAAAATGTATTATTTTCCTGATTTTGATATCTGGTTAGTAAGTTTTACTTGCTACAAGTTTTAAGTTTACCAGGAACGCGTGATATTTTAACTGGTTAGAAAGTTGCCTATCTCTGTTATCTATGTCTCTGGTTAGGCCAATGTAATTTTATTAACAACTCTAATGACACTTTAAATTCATATAATGTTCACCTATAGTGTGTAAAGTTTAAAACCTAGCATAACTACTTTGTTTGAAATCAAAACATGTTTATAATAATTTTACAAAGAGACTGCATAGCAAATATCAATATTTTCAAATATCAAATTTAAACATAGTATATCTTTAAGTATCCGATAATGCATTGTGCTCAAGCAATGACAGTCATCAGCCAGAAAGATAAGCAAATAACCCTGATTTCGTAAGACAGCCTTTTAGAAAAGTTCAAGATAGCTGGAATAAATTACTTCTCCCGGTTTCACGGATGGAGACTACACTAAGTTATTATTGTTTGACGAAATGGTGTAACTTTTTCATATTCCAGAGATGTTTGTTTAATTATTAAAGAAAATGATCATTCTTGATTTTTGTTCAAAGTAAATAAAACCATCGCTATCTAACATTCACTTTTTAAAACTTATTTTTAAATATTCAAGAAATGTGATTTAAACTCGGATGTAAACTTAAAATAGAATATAATTTTTCTCAGCAAGATGTAAAGTTTATTCAATCTATATACAAAACAATGAGCTTTATGACGTTTTTCAATAATTATTTTACGTAGGCGCATGGCAGCGTTAGTGGTACATCATTGTTCAATCTCAAAAAGAATTTAAATGTTCCTTATATATCAAACACACTTTTTAAAGAAACCTAAACTTACTGATCAACAATAATGTCATGCACGTAATCTTTATCTAAACTTATTTTTGTTAATCATTTAAATGAACTTTTTATCGCTTTAGTGAACACTTAAATTACAGTTAGATTATTCTTTTTGAGGTCCTATTGATAGGTTCATATCATTATTTCTAAAGAGCACTTTTGTTATGAAAATTACAACATTAACTAGTATGTCAAGGGGATTATCACATGAACAGCTATCAATAAGAAGTAACTGTGTAATTTTTTATTCTTTTTTGACATCAATATTTTGTAATTAATAGGTTTTTGATTCGATTAATGACTAGTATTTATACAGATAGGATGTATTCAAACTAACATGTCAGGCCCCGTAGTGATTAGATATATTCACAGCGTGCAATTAATTTTTACAGTCACCGTGAATAATTCGGAGCGTACGAACAAGCTATAAAATGTAGCTTATATGAAGCAATGGAGTACCAAGTTATATCAATTTGCATGCTAGCATATTTGATTTCAGTTGTAACATGTGCAATTCAAAGTGAAACTTTTACATTTAATTCCGTTGCAAGTGGTAAAACATGTCCGTTACCGGACCAGTTATTTACGTTAACGGTTTCTAAGAAAATTGCGTGTGTAAAAGACTGCATGAAATTGCCAAATTGCAAAGGTGTTGCGTACACCCCTACAAATGGACTATGTACTGGATGTAGCGGATATTATGATATATTTAGTACTATGGTTGACGCACCAAGCTCGCTGTTTTATGCTGTTCCTACAAACATAGGTATGTGCTGTTATACATGTATTTATTTACATTGCTATTCCATATCTAATGTTTATTTATATAATCTTATGTGTATTCTATGATATGAATATAAAATTAATATATTCCGTGTTGAACATTTTTATATTCCGTCTAGATTATTACTCGACATATATGGAAAAGGAAAAACAATAAATAAGAATTTTAACTTTTAAGACAAAAATTCTCTGATATACTGTACTTATTTTAATTTTTATATTTTAGACAACTGTGGGATACCGATCGTTGCGGATATACACGTTGTGCTTGATGTATTTAGTGGGAATTCAAGTGTCGGTGCCCAATTGGCGTACACTTGCACCCCGTGCACATATTTCCCGCTGATGGATAATCCTGTCATCACGTGCCAGGCAAATTTGACGTGGACCATACCAGAATGTGTATTTGGTAAGTCTGTAGTTATTCCACATTCAACTTTATTAATGCAAAATGTAGTACTTCCAATTACAATTATAATAATTTTGGCGTTTTACTAATGCACTGTCTAGTATTGATCAGTTTAAGATTTAAACTTGATCTATCATCTCATTTCGTAAGATTTAAGACCAAATTATTAAGAAAAAGCTCTTATATAGCTATAATCATTTTCCATGCTTTATTTGAAACTGAGAAATTGCTATACGCACAGAGGACTTTTTCTCAGTTTAAATTTATGAGACAAATTTTGACAAAAATCCTTTATTAAACATGAATTGAATCGTATTTTCAGGAAAAAATTTACTATTGTACTAATGGTCTTTCCTATAAAATGTTTTCAAATTATCTCTTATCTAGGTCCAGATGTCGGACACTTAGCTAGTAAGTATTTTGGTTTCCGCAAAGATACATTTCAAAATTTAGTGTTACAATTCTCTTTCACATGCAATACTAAAGAAAAATTCTATATACCTTGGAATGCGCATTGTTGGTTTTGCCATCGCCACGTTTTCAAAAGAAAAATTGGACGAAAGGATGTAATGACGTTAGTTTATGTGTACGTGTTTTTGTTGTTGTTTTTAAACTTTACACGTTTACTTTTTGTCAGTGGATTAAGCAATTATACAATGTATACCGAAAGTAATCTCTAAACACTAAAATAGTGTATAAAGGAAATTTGTTCATAATTTACGTTTACTTTTTGTCAGTGGATTAAGCAACTATAATGAAATTAATCACTGAGCACAATAACAGTTAAGATAGAAAATATGTTATTAATATTTAAGAATATATAAACACCTTTCAAACCATAAGGCGTTTATATTTTATAGAGCAGTGTTTGTTTCTTTGTTGTCGTACATTTTTATCGAAATTAATTCTTATTTCAGATAATGAACCAATAGCAGTTGGTGAAACAGGTACGTTGTATAATTTTCACAATATTTATGCATCAATAAATAAATGTAATGTATTATCTACATATTAGAAATCCACGAACACTAAATAGAATATACGACATATCATAAAGTTAAACTAGATTCATTTCTAAATTTATTTGAGCCGTGTCATGACAAAACCAACATAATGGGTTTGCGACCAGCATGGATCCAGACCAGCCTGCGCATCCGCGCAGTCTGATCAGGATCCATGCTGTTCGCTATCAGTTTCTCTACTTGTATTGTTATAGGGTTTGTAAGCGAACAGCATGGATCCTGATCAGACTGCGCGGATGCGCAGGCTGGTCTGGATCCATGCTGGTCGCAAACCCATTATGTTGTTTTTGTCGTGACGCGGCTCATTTAAAGATTATCAGTATAATGTATAGATCGGCTCCTTCAAGAGTACGTTGTTTAAGATATAGTTCACCAAATTATATAAAACACCTTTTAAAACAATAAGAAAATATGTTCTTTCGCTGAAAAAGTAGTCCCCGTTTACAAATACCTTCTTTAGCAATACTTACATGATATAATGTCTCAATAAAAATGAAAAGAAGGCTAAAGAGATTTTCAACATTGTTAACGCTCATTTCAATATTGAGTTTCTTACAGAAGTTTTAGAATGCTATTTAATAACCGAACCGAATGACTAGCATTACAGTAACCAAAAAGACTCATTAGCGATCAATTTTCTTTCTTCCAAAATGCATTAAAATGTAAAAAATAGTCATACATAGATACAATACATCGTCTTGTGTGAGATATGACAGTTTATGTTTATCTAAAACTATGATTTGTTTTATTGTAATGACAGGTTGCGGTGAATACTATGGCAACAGTTGTGAAGGAAGCGGGCTTTCTGGTGACTTGCTGAAATATAACGGTTTACGTGGGGACTGTTTCTGTGACAACGAGTGTTGCTCCTCGGAAGATTGTTGTTTTGATTCTACATGTTCTGATACACCGCCAATATTTTAATTATTCATTTACCTAATCGTTGGATAATTAAGCTCCTAACCGCTCGGGTAATGCTGTAAAAAATCAATTCTATAAAACATACTTTTGTGACGATTCATAAAACAAAATTTACACCCTGTATGATAACATTAAAAGACAACACCATATTGGTTTATTTTATTAACTATTACCATTGAATTAAACTTATTGTTCTTATTGAATAATTGTATAGAGACTTGCAAAGTTGTCATAGTACAATCGTATCCTCTAGGCCCTTTACGTCAAACTTCGGATAATAAATTATTATAGACAATAGCCGAGGAATTCCGATTGGGCATCGTATAGTCTACGGGTGACCTACTGATTATGCTGAACTACATTATTCAATACATTGTCCTGAATTTCTGAGGATGCGTATAGTAATGAATTATCGCTAAATGATCCTTGAAAGATTTAGATTTTAGATTTTATTCAAAATACATGTGGGTATTATACCCATGAGTACACAGCATACATACATACATACATACATACATACATACAGAAACATAATATCAAGGTCATTTATCATATTACATATAATCAATTTTAAGGAATTGCTTCAGGTTTATGCCATCTACCAGTTTCTACTTTTAATCTATGCAAAGAAGTCCTGAAACGTGAATGTAAAAAATAAGTAACGCAGAATTGTGGTAAATGGCGGATACCTGATAGGATTTCCATCGCGGTAAGTAAACTGGCCAATATATTTTTAATTTAACCAAACTGAAAAAAGGAATAGCCGCATACGTCCTCGAAGACATTAGTCTTTATCCCTCATCTAGATTTTTCCACGAAATTACTTACTTTTCAAGATCATTCTGAAAATGATGGCTTGACCACCGTTTTCAGCGTGATTTTTCCTTTTTAACGACTCTTATAAGTACAACAATGCATATTACACCGTATAATTTCGATTTTCGGTAGGCAAGTGACATTTACTAAACTTCTGGTGACATATAGAAAATTGAAAATAAGTTGATAAAATGTGATTCAGGCCGTTTTTATGAGGTGTGATTTTGTCACAATGTCATATTGCTCTCGGAACACACAGGAAACGGCAAGAACTATTTTCAGGTCGTCAAAACAGATGATCCAATTATTCCCGTCTTATGCCGTCGATAAATTGCTGCTCATCTAAAGTGTAATGTATGATTTTACACCTTATGTTCTTAAACTGACGTGTGTAAATACGCTTTTAATATTTTTAATTCTAAATGATATACATTTAATGGAAACCTTTTTAATTCAATTTGGTGTAAAAATCCATGTGAAACAGGCATGCGTTTTCAAAGTCCTTTAGAATTTCTGTCTTTAATTACAGATTTTGTTGTTATGAAAATTATGATTTTAATTCTTAACTAAATTTAATTATAACCCTTAAACATTAATCTTGAAGAGTTATAAATTTGTAAGACTGCTCACCTGATAAGGTTATTGAATCATTTGAGTTGCAACCTAATTACAAGTTTAAAGAGTAGGCATTGCCATTCATAACGTTAAATACCTATGTGTATGCAATTTAATCATAAAGTTTTCACTTGCAATACTGCAGCCCTCTTTAATTTGAAAAGTAAAAGCAAACATCCGATAAATGACAGTGAAGTAAAATGCATAAAGCTTTCTATAAATAACGGCATGAAAAGTACAAATTGGATTGTTGAGTATTTGCAATTCAGTTATGTGTACACAGCCTTTGCCCAAAGGAATAATAGACATTATGTTTTTATTCGATGCTCTCAAATGAGCATTAATGATTTATTATCCTCCAACATACACCTGCATTCAAGCAGCTTTAAAGAAAAACATAACATAAAACAAGGTTAGAGGGCATGCCGTTAAGCCGTCCCGTTTATTTGTCAAAAGATTTACAAGAAACAAAAGAAACAACTCCATTGATCAATACCAAAGCCAAAGTCAGAAATGCTGCGAGCGGGCTACACAACCCTACTCCGTCTTGGGAGGGGGAGGTATATAGAGGCTATTCGTTGCCAAAAATCCAGCCTTTGAAACTTGACAATGCATACTTCGGTTCTACTAAACAGATAAGTAAAAATCTAATTGTCGATCCGAGAGTTACATACTGGACTGGTATTAAGCATTTTGATTATCTCGATTTGATAAAATGAAAGCTGTTAACATGCAACTTAGATAAATTGCAAACTGTATTTATAAATGTATAACTTCAAACTTGCAACATGTAGAAATGTAAACGATAGAACGTACACAATACGTTTAATGCTATGCATCATGACGTTGAGAATGTAACTGCATCAACTTGACACACTCAGGTTTACAACACCATACTTTCATTTTCATTCTAACGCGATTAACATTTGTAAACGATTTTGCAACTTCCATATTTGGAATTATCACGGAAATAGACGAAAATTTATAGGCGGAGCCAATTTCACGAAAGCAGAGTATAAAGAGAGGTAACTCTTGCTGGTACAAAAATAATTCAAATTATATAGAAACTGTTGCATCAATCTTGACTTTGAACATTCTCTGATTTTGTTAAAACGTATTCTAGTACAGGATATTCAAATAATGCAAAATTGGTTAAGATATAATGTAAAAATATAACAACGTATATACTGATAATGAGCATAATAATATGCAAAAACTAAAGTTGGTGAAATAACATAAGGAAATGTTTCTCATATTTAATGACACACACCATTATCCTTGATATCAATGATAGGGTTTTGAGAGTCACGGCAATACTCTTAAGCAAATCCTTTTTTTTACCTTCAGCAAATAGTACTAGAATGCGATACATGGAAGGCACTTTTGGCAACACGAATAAAGAGAACTGAACAATAAGCCTGTGCCTTCTTTCTTTAAAGGACTATGTTGGGTTGTAGAAAAATTCATACTTTTGACCAAGTGTATAACCACGAAACAATGCAAAGTTTACTATCGATAATTCCGTTGTAAAGCCAAAACTTGTGAATTTGTGCAATTTTAATGTTGAAATAAATATTCAGTGTATCCTGGCAACTCTGTTTACCTCCATTGGGAGGTATTTTGAGTCATAGGATGTGATTTAGCCTTTTATTGTTAAATATATGTAAGCTGGCGTAGGTTAAGGTCTTTTATGCATTGTGCTGAATCAATAGCACCCCTAAAATATGTGTATATATGCTGTCATTAGCTGTTACCTAGATTTGCTGTCTAGATTTGTTGTCTATTTCATCAAAAACAGAGAACTACTTTTATGTACATGAAATACTACACAGAATATTTATTAAGTTTTGTAAGTGATGGCTTTCTAAGAGATAAAATAAACAAGGTATACATAAATTGATAATCAACATACATACATTTGGACTCATTTAAATTTTACTTATTGAAAAACAAAATGGGGAAAATGGTAAAATATATGGTAAAAATAAAAAGTTATGTACGAAAGGGTACATACAACTTTGGTTATAATTTTACTATTGTTAAAGGTTTTTTTTTCATGTCAAGTCATACGCTAGAATTAAGGTTACTAATATAATAGTACTACTAGGAAAGACAACAGCCAGAATTTGGTCTGTATTAGTAATTAGTCGTATCAAAATCTCTATCAGATGTTGACTTGAAAATTTGAAAGTGGTAATGTAGCAGTGTATCTGTAAATTTTACTCATTCCTATGCAAATTGGAATACCTTCAGTAAAATTTATTGGTCGTTGAATATAGTCTTTTCAATAGTTTTCACTTCAATGAAAAATATTTAACCTCAGAGAGTATGTAACCTGGTGTTTTTGGGGGCTTTTTCCAGGAAATGTGGTGTCTACCACGTTTTAAAACTTATATGCCTATAATCCTTTAAAGTCCGCTGATGTTGATTGTAGGCAATCATGCAAGTGAATTATGTTTAGTAACTAAACACCTAAAAGGTATGATAAACGGAAACTACGCCGCTTCTTGTCGCCGACGGTAAATACCGAAAATGAGCGGAAAATACGTTTATTTACGATGATTAAGTGGGCGGGAAAATGGGCGGAGCTTATTTTATCTCCTATTGAAAAACGTGTAAAGCTGGATCATGCTGATCTGAATCATGATGGTTCGACAATGAAAAGCTAAGAATGTAACTTCTGTTTTGAGTATTCGAACACTTGGTATTACTACTATCAGTTAATGTTTTGTCGTTTAACAAAATGTATTTTGTTGAAATGCATGTTTACAATGTTAAATCGGCAAACTCAATCCAAGTATGCAACATTGGAGTTTACAAACAAAGAAATACAATTGCATTTTTTCCATTAACAAACTGTTCAACTCAGATCAACAAGGCTGGATTTTTGGCAACGAATAGCCTCCATAGAGGTAGGAAGCTCAATCGCCTATCTGACATATCCCCAATTTTGAGTTTAATAAAAAAAAACATTAATTATATGAAATGCATTAAGTTCAGATTAAATCAAAACATGACATTGATATCTTCCCTTCCCTTCATTTTTTTACATCCATGTTAAAAACGAAGACGAAGAATCTGAAATAGATAAAACAAGATATCAAAAATATGTTTAAGGCAATGTTAAATCCATAAATTTATTCATGATATTTAGTACAATATGAAAATTATATTCAAAGAAATTTCACAAATGGACGGCGTGAACGTAATGCCTCAAATGCCTATATTTTATCAACGTGCATAATTACCGCCAAAACTATTACCGTTAAAAACACGAGGAATTACCATATATGGAAAGACACGGTGTATGCACCGTAAATAAATACATTTTGTAAAAGAAAAGGGGTATACAAGCCGTCTGTCAGTGTATCTACTTATGTACTTAGTTTGTCAAAACAAGTAATAGAACCAATGCAAACTCTTAAGGGCATCAAGAAATTCACCTATTAGTTAGTACAACGAGGAATGATATCATTAATGCATGCCTGTTTCTTTAAGATGAAATACCTGACATTTATAACCCGTCGATATTTAAGTTTCCATTCGATAGAATGTTGCACTTTTGAGCTTTACTGCAGTAAGTACAATGTGTTGTGTTACAGTTTAGTATATTATGGAAATGTTTTGACTATAAGAGATTATTTTAATTTCTGTAAATATCACTTCTGCTATTTGGGCAGGAAAATAAAATGCCAGATCTTATATTGAACGTTAAATTTTAGGTAAGACAATGATAATAATTATAAGAATCTCTTTCCCTGCAATAGGAAAACGGACGCGTATCTTTACCACCAAATGCAATTGCTTGATCATTTTAACATGTTTTGATATGTTAAGATCCTATGTTTTGACGAACTGCGATGAATTACATAATCATAGGGATACATCACGTACGTTTCAATAAAATCAATCTTAAATTTCAAAATCTACCTCAAGACTTCACTACTCAAAGAATTTTCAAGAAAAGACATTTCTATTTCAAGTAGTAAACAAGTTCATTCTTTTTCAAGACATTGATATTTGTTATTGACTCTCTCTGTCAATCTGTGAACGGTAACACTAGTATGGTACCAGTGAAAGATCATGTTACATGACACCAATCTTCGTTCCAAGTTTTATGCGCCTTGTATTTATTTTAATATGGATATGAAGATAATTTAAATGTTGATAAGTAAAAAGTTCATCCAACATGGCAGATTTGTAACTATTGCAGACTCGGTTTGATTAAGCCTATTCAATGACTTCATGGACGGAAGGTGTAAATGCAAGTTACTTTTCACGTTCCTAAGTGACGACATAAGAAGACGACAATATTTAAACATAGATATTGTAATAAATTTATTATTAAGAAGGCAAATTAACCTGGATATTACATGCCAATAGGTAGAAAAATGGTGACTGATAAAATGCTCTTTGGGGCTCCGTTCAATAAAGCTCCCAGAAAGAAATTGTTGAAAAAAACCTACCCCCACCCCACTCCATAAAAAAAGAAATGTTGTCTGCTAGTTAATGGACAATGCATTTGTACTCCTACAAATTTAGACATTGTAATGTCATAAATGTCATTTTCAAGTTCATGTTCAATACTAATGATATAGCAGTTATCTTCAAAATTCCCCTTTCATAAAAGCGGATATTACTTAGTCTGTTTTTAAACTTTGACTTTCTAGGGCAATAGGTACGTGTCATAATAATTCGACAATGCATTTTAATCATGGTGTTTATACATCCACTTATTCGAGTTATACTTAATTTTATTCAATTCCATTAAAAAGGAAATAAAAGGAGTAGGAAATCGTTGATATGATGCTCTTAACTGCGCAAATAGATGTTTGAGTGCATCAGGAAGTGAAAAATTCTTTTAAATTGATTTTGAAAATATAACTAGAACTGTTACCAATTTTAAACACTCTTATTTTGCACTCTATTGATATGTAAAAACCAATATCCCATTAATAATTCAAGGCGATGTAAAATTAATATAGAAGTTATGTCACACCGACCATGTAAGGTCATTATGGTGACTTTCCAGGTTTACAGGTGAAGGAAGACATTAGAACCTCCCCCTTTATGCATTATGTCCTGAATAGAAACACTCACCTTGTGTAGGCTATGTCATAAGCGTCCTTGCCTTGATTAAAACCCACAGCGATTAGGGACAAGTTATTTGAATTTCCCATCACTCATTCACAGAACGGTAAGTGACGAGTGATTTGAATTGCCATTCACACGTTCATAGAACGGTGAGGGTCAAAATATTTGAAATCAGCTTTGCTTATGAGAGAACAGATCCCACAAAACGGTAACGAAATTATCGTCGTTCGGTTTGCTCAATAGGTAGAGCGTTGGACTGTGAATTGGGCAACCCGGGTTCGATTTTCGGACAGTGCAGGTCACTTTCGTTGTAATTGATCATGAAATCTTTTCTACGGTCAATCGCACTGTACCTCTGCTTTGGCATTTACAGATCGAAGTGTCAGTTCCTTGCGAAAGTGAAGGTAACTAGTACTGGTAAATTGTTTGGCAGCCTGTCCAGGAAGAATGCGGTGACTGAACTGTGTAATGTGGCTTACTGTCCTGATCCGGGGTGAAAACTATAAACGCCACCATCATGGTAAAGGACAAATGATTGAACGTGAGAGCCGGTTGTTTGTAATTTGATTTAATAAATTCGTTTTGAGCCTTTGCTTTACATGCAACCATCTTCACCAATTCGTCTTTTCAAATAGAAATAATCCTTCTCGATAAAAGTATATATTTTCAAGGTTTTTTTAGACGCAGTCTCTTTAAACCTGCTTAAAATATATTTTTTCCTATGACATTAATTTAATCGTGCACCAAAATGACCCGTATTAAGTAAGAGGGCGGTTACTTCCATCTATACAAACAGTTATTCATGAAAGTAAAATAGCATAGATGGCGCTCCGGAGTTGCAATACATAAGAACAAACACGAGCCATATCAAACATTCAAAAATTTAATATCTTATGTGATTTAAAGTAATTTTTCTTTGTTTTTCAGCAAACATTTAAAGTTAAATTGTACATATAAATTATACACACTTTATGTAGGAAGTAATGAAGTCTTTTCAACATTCTGCTGTTCTAATAATACTGTATTTTTATTATTTTAAAGAATTTGCTCTTGCTGATAAAACAAGTAGGATATTTGGATATAAAAAGGAATATTTTGGTAAAACGTGTCCCATTGTGGATCGTTTATTCACAATGACCATTCGTAGGAAAACTGCGTGCGTTGAAAAATGCGCAAGGACTACTGGATGTACGGCCGTGACATTTCTTGAAAGGAATTTAATGTGTACGGGTTGTAATGGATTTTATCCTTCGTCTATATCCCTCGATGACCAATCAGAAACTTTGTTTTATATCGGTATGTATATCAACTTCATGATGCTGAACGCTAAACTTTACACAAAATGGATATGGTCGGGAAGAAACTTTAAAGTAACTCCACTGAGGTTTAAACGCTTCAAAATATAACATTTGATTTTTTACATATCTGAGTTAGGGTGAGATGTGGAAATAATAATTAAAAGATATATACACAGAAAGAAATTAAAAATCGTATGGTTGTGCTATCCTAAGCCCAATTTGAGTGAAAAGCATCGCACAACGCTTTTCAATTTTGGATCATTTTTCACTTAATAATTATCATTCTTGTAACTAGATAGTAAGCGAGTTATCTGAAATTGTGCACACATGCTTTTGGTTTAGACTTACATTAATTAAACGGAACATCAATCTCAAAACTTTATGTCATGTCAAAAAAAAAAAAACTCAGTTGAGTCCCTTTGAGATTATGTTTTTTTTTTAATCTAACCATTTGCTTATAAAAGTAAGATTCGAATTTTAAATCATATTACAGAATGCACCGATTATATTACACAGGACAAAAGGCATATCAATGGACCAGATGATTTTTACCAAATTTACGTAATATCGTACATGTAAAAGATCATGCGTTCCGAACAGTTGGTATTCCGAACCACCTATGAGATCTAGTTTTAAAAACTTTAGGAAGTAATTTGATTTTTGCATTTGTAACATAATAAAGTAATTATTTTAATTATGCAGTTGACTGCGGTAAGCCAGAGGTAAGCCACAACGATATTGAGCTGGAAACATTCAATGGAAATTCTCTTTTTGGCGCAAAGATGACATACGTTTGTAAAGCACCAATATTTCATCACCATATCGACAATATCACTTGTCTGTCGGATGGTAAATGGAGCATAGCGCAGTGTGAATTTGGTATAATTACACCAATTGTTAGATTTAATAAATAGTTTTAGAAAATATGGTCAGCATGAATATAACGATAATAATAATATCTGTCATATGTTGGGGTTCAGATAGGAATATCCGTCCCGAGGGATCCGCCCATGCATGGACGGGTTCCCGAGGGGCCAATTTTCCGATTCGAACTGCAAACATATGTCAGATATATTTTTCTTGCATATTCTACCATATTTTAAATTCCTTTTCCCTTAATAAAACATTTTCCATTGAAATTTATGTCATTATACCAGTACTTATAATGGAATGTTGTAGAATATGCAAGAAAGAAAAAAGAAATCTGAAATATGTTTGCGGTTCGGATCGGAATATACGTACCTCGGGAACCCGCCCATGGGCAGGTCCCTCGGGACGGATATTCCGGTCCGAACCGCAAAATATGGCAGATATCAGGGTTGCGTTTCACTGAGTGAGACTAAATAAGGATTGGAGCACCACACTAAATACCGTGTTACGGTATTTACCGGACAAGGCGCTTGAATGATAAAATGCTAAAATTTTGCATTTTCATCCAACGGAATGAACTTTAAAAGGTCTAATTCATCTTTTCACACCGATTTATGTACGATAATGAATGAAAATGTAAAAACCGGCGAAAAAATACGATATTTGTCTATTTTGTGATCATGATTTCTGCAAGCGTCTTTAGGTACTGGTCCAATCCTGTATTGAGTTAAATCCCGTTTCATTGAAAGTCCTGAGTCTAAAAGATGTCTAAAGACTGAAACAATTTTTGTTTCAAAGAAAATGTCCTAACTTATGGCTTTTATATCAACTTAAAGACTCTTCAATTTCTGTATAGCGATGCAGATGAACATTTGAAGTGCATGACATTGTATTTTGTAACATTTCTCTAGATAATGACTTAAAGAAATGTTTTAGACTTTTTTCTGACTAAAGACGAAAACATTTCTTGAAACGATCTTAAGTTGGTCCTATAGTTTGTCATAAGTGCTTGGACTTAGGATAAACTTATGACTGTCTATGAAACGCAGCCCTGGTAATAGCACCGACAGTGTTTTTGTCAAGCACCGACAGTGTTTTTGTCAAGCACCGACAGTGTTTATGTCAAGCACCGACAGTGTTTTTGTCAAGCACCGACAGTATTTTTGTCAAGCATCGACAACGTTTTTATCAAAGAAAAATGTTATGCGTTTCATACATTTATTAAAATTTATTGTAAATTCATAAATTTGAATATCCCGTTTTTAGTTTGGTTCATTTCCTTTTTCTTACTTTTCAAGTGTGGAAGTTTATTTGTCTTCCTAGGTTTCAATAAACTCTTTTTTTACAATAAGACTAGACACATCTTTTTTTATCAATTTATTATATAACATATACTTTTTGCAGTTGACTGTGGGACACCAACGGTTGGCAGTCACGTTCAGTTAGGACCGTACAATGGGTACTCACGCTACGGGGCTCAGGTGGAATTTAGATGTACACCTTGCACGTATTTTTCACTTTCATCAACGTCACATATCAGGTGCCAGGCTGATGGCTCATGGACCATACCAGACTGCGTTTATGGTAAGAAAGTTGCAAGGTGCATATAGTTCCATAATTTCATTCCTTGTTTTCTTTGTTACTATATATTTTCATATAAACAATAGGCATATAAACAATAGGCATATTATTATTTGCCTACAGGTTAGGTTTAAACATATTTATCTAAGCTCGATCGCAAGACAAGTTCTTGCAAGTTATATGAATCATTTTCGAGTCCGCTTCCTGGAACCAACCAGTACCCGTGTTATATGAAGAAACATTGGTCGTGACCAAACTCCTCACAGTGATTACCTCCCTTGGCAGAATTGTAATCACTGCCTTCACATGATGATGAAGGTCACATGACCTAACGTCGAATATCGACCGTTGCATAGAAAATCTAACGTCATTTTTCTCTTTCTGTATTATTTTTAACTTTTCGTACCTACGTCCGCTATATTTTATAAAAAAATTATCAATAGTATACAAAATAATGAAAATTAAATTCAAAAGCTAAAAAATATAAAATATCATAATATTGATATTTAAATGTTTGTGATGACAGAGATCTCTGTACTGATAAGGGGAGATCACTGCATAGGAGACTGGGTCGTGACACGGTTGAGAAGAATACGTTTAATTCATATATTTTTATTTCATATTGATTATTACACCATCATGGCAGCTTAGCACGATAGTCAGAAGCGAGGCTTAGCATAAGCTTTCTTCCCCCCTCTATTCTGATAGATAACCTGTTTAATACACTTACTAATTTCTGTATACATTGTAGTTTTGTTTTAATGTTAAATCTCTCTGTAATTATTCATGTGTACTTGTATGTATATTATGTAATCAATTTATTGAAAATAAATATTGTTTAAATCAATTCATATCTTTTCTCTTTTTTAGGCCCAGATGTTGGACTCCTCAAGAGTAAGTATAAATTTAAAACGTACTTGTTACTTTTTTTCATGCGATTTGATTATGCTCGAATGTCTATACACATATTTTGAATGTCAACTTTTTAGACAGAGCTACACACCGGATTTCTTGTAAGAAGAAAATCTCGGAATTAAACTGCGTTCTCTTTTGTGTAACCAGGCGCACATGCCGTCGTTTTGTCTTGTTGGTGGTTGTAAAGGGAATTTTTTGTCCGTACTAACGTTGTAAACATAAATAAGAGAAATATGAACCAGCTGGCTGTCACTTTTTAAAAAACCTTAAGGTGATGTTATTAGAATTCATCAATGTATAATTGTTTGGCAATATTTACCTGAGACTCATTAATTTGTAAATTCATACAATGAGTGCATAAAACATAGCTGTCAAGTTTCGCAAAATAAAATATCATACAAGAAAACATAAGAAAAATCATTTGATTCAAACTGACAACTAATTGAAAGTCTTACACCTTGTCCCTTACTATATGCTGGTAAGTTATACATTTACCATTGTATCATGCGTTAAAATCCGTATGGTTTAATTCGGAATACGATTATAACCGGCAAAAGGTCATTGAGTATTCAAATGTCTCAGGTCAATATTGCCAAAACCATATAAAGATAGCGGCATTTATATACGATCTAAACACTCAAATTATTTCATAACTAGATTATATAGAATCAGATGATACCTGATCGTTTTTATTTATTTGGGTCGTTAGACCAAACAAATAATGGTAGCGAAATTTCAGACTCTAATGCTGTTAATTGCAAATGCCGAAAGTAGTCCGCTTTTTGAAGCGGTTACTTCCCTTTATATGTAACACTTAGGCCAAAAAATTCAGGGGAGATCACTGCGTATATATGGTCACATGACAGGCGCATTAATTTTCAAGCAAAATAATTCCCGAATGGTCAAAGATTTCTAATATTGTTTTATTCTTTATAGATATACATGCTTATAGTAAGCGCCATAATTATTTACACAAGTGTTAAACAACAGTTAGCGTCGTTACAAACCCTACTTTAGAATAATATGCTTTTCTTCAAGCCGTTAACATATAAATTCACCGTGGCCGAGGGGTTTGCGCGCTCGCTTAGGAAGCGAGAGGTCTGGAGTTTAAATCCCAATCAATGCAACTTTTTTTTTCAAATTGTTTAAGTCAAATAATCATTGGATTGAATATCAATGTTGCAATTAGTCTTTTAGCCAATCTACTACAATTAAAACGCTGGAAAGCATTGGTGGCACTATACAAAAACAAATTGTTTTATAATCTGACAACCTTTACCTTCCTGACATTCTGAGACCCAAACAAATTCAGCGCCTTCTGTGCTTTGATTTTTTTTTTGTAACTGCATTGTTTACCTTTTCCCATAAACTATGTACCTATAAAACAAACAATAGAATATGCTATATAACACACAGGTATATTATATTACTACCATATTTTGTCTGATTTACAGATGGACTTGTTATTCCGACAGGGGCTGTAGGTATGTAGACTGCAGGAACTGATTGTTATATATCTTCGTTACATGCCTGCCAGTAAAATACTGTGTATCACTCACACTGTGACTGATACACCTGTGCCGAACTTTTTTTCTTCCTTCTTGGCGTGCATATTAATTTGCTTGTTGTGTTTAAATTTAATTCAATATTGCCTTTTTGTCGCCCGCTTTTCAATAAAAACAGTGAAACAATGCTGTTACTGTACATATTCGGCATACAAACATACATACTATTAGGTCAGATCAATATAAATGTATCATGCAAGTATTTCTGATCTAATTAGACTTATAATGTCAGGTTCAAGTAAGTATTGCCGATCCCTTTGGACGGGTGATAATGTATCATGCAAGTACAAGTATTGCCGATTCATTTAAATCAGGTTTATGTAAATACATCATAAAATATTGTCATATAATATCAATTTAATATCAATATAACATGAGTCCCGATATTCTTGTTTCGATTTAATATGTTGCTGTACATTTCGTTACAGGCTGTAACTCTTCTCTAGGAAGCACGTGCGTCGAAGAAAATGAAGTACCTGGAACTGTGTTAAGATATAATGGTCAGATTGCGGATACATGCTATTGTGACAGCGTTTGCTGTTCAGAATCTGATTGTTGCTATGACTACAAATGTTGAACTTTCGGTGGTCCATCTGTGACATTCTGTCTCTCATTAGTAGTAAAAAAACAAAAAAATAATTTTAATTGGGGGTAAAGTAAAGCATTTTACGTTAGTATTAATCGGCGAAATAAAATAAACCAAAACATTATTCGATCATTCCAAACCAGTATTAACCTTTGCGTCTGTTTACTTAAATTGGTAGTATACAAAAGCATAGTCATGCAAATATCTTTGAAACGCATATATTTGTGTACACAAACTTTTCATACAGTCATGTAAAAGACCCCCAAACATAATATTTGTGAATAAAACAAACAGGAGGCCTTTCTTAGATAAAATGATAAGACGACATTCATTTTCATAACAAAAGAATTTTCTTTTTTATTATATGCCTATTAAGTAAACAAAATAAAGAAAATTTGCCCATGTGGCGGTAACGAGGCTTCCCGAATTGGCGGGTACCCTCGGGCGGATATTCCAATCTGAACCGCATACACATGTAGAGGTAACATTTTTTTCTTGTATATTTTACCATGTTTTTAAATTGTTCACCAATTATTTAATTTTTGATGGAAATTTTGTGTCATTTTGGAGCACGTGACTCATCTGGCTCCCCATTGTCAAATGAAATATCTGGCATGGGTAAAACTAACGGAAACACCAATCTGAAATGCAAAAATATCGATGCTTACCAGTTTCTTAGAGATAGAACTATGTTAAAATGTTTATACATTGCTAAAGTTTAAAGTAATTTCAGATGACTGGTCTGTTCTTTTGTTTATATATCTAAGAATTTTAACATCAATACCTCTAGTTAAGTTTTCATGTTCAGTATGTTAGCATTTTAGTAAATATTGCAGAGGAATATATATAAATTGTTATTATGTAGAAAAAAAATAAAAAGTTACTTTTCCGATTTTTTAGTTTAGTTATTTTAGTCTTACTCGTATTTTTAAAAACTTCTATAATACATTACTTCCGTGTCTAACCAGTTATGATGTCATATTAAATAAAACCCGCCCCCATAAAACAACAACAACAAAACAACAACAAAAAAGAAGTAGTTGTGGCCCGAAAAGGGCACAAACCCCGAGACTTTAAACACTTTGCAATCACTCCGCGTTTTCAAGTCTTTACTCTTTGTACATTGTAAACATGACTTTCAGCTTTGCAACTGCCTCAAATGTTGTTTTAAAAATCTTTGCATACTGTTTCAATATCCGCAAACCACATTTGTCAATTAATATCGATGGGAGGGAATATAATCAAAGAGAGAACAAACTTTATAAAGGAAATATTACATAAGAGTGTGGTAATTTCATTTTTTTCGTCCAACGGTTTCATGGCCTCGCACATTATGTTATTCGAGAAAACCTGTTACTCGCAACTGGTCCATTAAACAAACGCCATTCGTGCATTATGAAAAGCAAAATACATAATTATCAAACTGCAAAATTAAATTATTGTTTGATTGATTTCAGATTTATTCAAGTTGAGTAAGTGGATCAATCTAAATTACTTTTAACTTATTTTTGTAATTCGATTTAGACGTGGTGAATAGGAGCAAATTAATAGTTTCTAATGAAATGTTTAATAGGCGGAAAAGGTGTATTTGAATTAATTCACGAACATACAGTATCCACTTAGCCAGAAAACTTTGTGCGGAAATGTTACATTTGAAGTAACCTGAATTAATAACAGTTTTTATTTATAATCTATTTACAAATTAATCGCAATTTCCTATTTGAAATATGCAAATAATGCACAGGAGCTACAGAAATAGATGAAGGACAAAGTACGGTGTAGCAAATCATTAAAACTGAATTACAATCAATATATTTTTGATCACCATGCTTCAAATTTCTTTATACCGCATCACAAAATTGTTTACCAATTATGCGACACATTTCATGTCACAATGATATCAAACTGGGTTGTTCTGCGCTTTTCATTTTGGTATGATTTTACTAATATATACGAAAACTTAACAATAGCTGACTTCTAGATATGTCTGTCTCTGTTTGTGGGTCATTCCACTTAAAGTAAGTACTTGTATATTGGAAAATTAGTCTTATCTAAGTTATTCACGCTTAGGCTTAAAATAAAATTTGTATGTTTTCCCTCTCGTTACCTAGCCACTAGAAACACTACTAACCAAAACATCTCATTGTCAAACAAAAACTAAACTTCTTGAAAAAGAAAGCAGTGCCTGTCAATCCCAGAGCCACATCATAATTATATATATTTGTATCTTATATTTTTGTAAATGTATCATATGTAAATGAATATTGAGTCTGTTAAACTTTTGAACTTTGATTCTAAACATTGGACAGATGCGAAACATTCTTAATTTTTCTTTTGATATTCATATAATTCAGATAAAACACCATGTTAAATACCAATACTAGTATATGATCAAAAGAAACAACCTAGCTACCTATCACATCCAAACTAGCATGGGTCGAGGGAGAGAGAAACAAAGATATCTAAGGTTGGCCTTATTTTGCCTCATTGAGTTTATATTATTTGACCTTGTGTTTATATTATTTGACCGAGGACAACAATGCACAGTACCGAAAAGTAACCTCTAATGTCCAGCTAGCTTTGAATTTTCTATTTTTGCTCCGAGATCATTTACAATATAGAAAATTACAGTTCCATGTCGATCACGGTTAAAATTTAAAGCCAGTTCTAAAATCGTTATTTCATGTTAAACAGAAAGTGAAACCCACTATGACCACGATAGCACTGAATTCAGAGGTTGCGCATGCTCTGTGATAGGTATTTAAAATTCATTAAAAAAGCAAATATCAAATAAACATTCAGACCAGAGCTAGTTCTGAAATTGATTTTTTTTTAAATGTGCATATTGTTTAATAATATAATCGTACCTAGTGCCAGCTCCGAGTTTGAATTTAAAAACATTATTAATTACAATACAAGAACGGTATGCAGTTTGGTTCCAGGCTTCATCAGTAAATGAATGATCATTTTACATGACACCAAAACTGGTTCCAAGTTTTTTGTGCGTTGCATTACTCAGATGGTGGATGTACGTTTTGTAATTTTGTAATGAATACCACAGAATAGTTAAGAATTGGTAGCTTACAGGTCGTCCAACATTGCTAAATTTGGAAATGCTACAATCTCAGGTTCTTGGAAGGTAGTTGTTAAATGCATGTAATTGCCCACCGACTTTATAAAAATGATGAACAGTTTATAATTAAAGATATACTATGCTCATCGTTTAGTAAAATATTTTTATCAAAGAAATTTATTGAAATCCATGAAATCCTTACTGAATGTTTTTGATTTGAGTTAAAAAGTGTTCACATTTTGTATTGAAAGCTGCATTCCCTATTAAAGGTCAAGTGAAGTTGATCCTTTCTTACAAAACTGCCAGTTTTTTAATGACACTATATATTCATATTGTGACCACTTATAGTGTTAAGAGTTTAAAACATAGCATATGTACTTTGAATGAAGCTGACCGCCTCCGTGGTTAGAGTCGATTACTTCTAATCCAGTTACCTCTCTGGCGTGGGTTCGATCCCCGGGAGATGCTTTGGTAGTTTAGCGCGGAGGAAGGTAGTCTAGTATTGGTGTAACTCTCCAGGAACGATGGTTAGGAAATAACCCGCCTATATGACTGAAATACTGTTGGGAAAAGGCGTAAATTGGAACAAACAAACAAACAAACTTGAATGAAGCTGAGTCATGTTTATTCTATATTTACAAAGAGGCTGTGTAGTAGTTATCAATATTTTCAAACATCAAATTTGAGCCTAGTGTATCTATTAAGAAGAAATACTATTTAAAAAAATATATTAAAAATTCAAGCAGAAGGGACATATCGCCTACTAGTCTATGGATGAAAGTCTTAATTATAATTGTATATAGTGGTTTTTACTTTTTATGCCACATAAGAGATGATCGCCGTTAGCTTTAAATGTAGCGTTCGACTTGATTATGTGACAAGAACAAGGCAATATAGCAGTGACTTTCTTAATTCATTTTCGTTAAACTATTCTTTTTTATTTTTATTTTTGCTGTTTTTGATGTCATTTCTACCAGCAATAGTTCCATCTCATATCAGTGATAATAAAATTTTAATACTCAAGATTTCTCTTTATTTTCAAATCAAGGTTATACATATCGAGTTATTTAAATAGTATAATTCACATTTCCAACTTGAACTTTTAATGTCCGGAATTAATTTCCGAATTAAGATTGCACATTATCTATCTATGTCCATAGCAATATGAAAATCGATTGAAGAAATAACCCGCCATATTTTTTCCAATTCAAATGGGACATATTACTCTTACTGGCTTGTAAAACTAAATTGCGGAAGGTTACTTCTATCTATACAAATAATAAAAAAACATTAAAACACAATAGCATAGGTGGCGCCGCGGAGTTTCAACACACAAATACATGCAAACGCCCAAGCAAGTGTTCCCAAATTTGACACCAACTATGAATCATAGAAAATCTTCTCTGTTCAGGGGCAAACATTTCCCGTTTTAAATTTGTAATTTCGAGAGAAATGGACTTTTTTCATATTCAGATAATGTTATAATTCTCGTAATTATGTCTTTGTATTATTTAACAACGTTTGTTTTAACTAATAAATCAACAAGTAAGACGTTTAGATATAAAAAAGAATATCAAGGTAAAACCTGCCCCACAGATTCTCGTATATCCACGAAAAACTGCTGACGTGAAATTATGTACCAGGACTAAAGGATGCACGACCGTAACAACGGAATTTCTCCAAAGGAATGGGAACTGTTTTATATATCGGCGTGTATACATTTTTACCATTATCTTAAAAGCAAATTTTATTTACCGAACTTCACAAAAATGCGAGGTATACTTAAGCTTGAGGAGAAAAGCATATTATATATATCGTAATTCAAGTAGTTGCCACTAAATCAAAATCAGGGCTGGTATAGCAATTATGGCCAAATGAACAGATTAATTCTTAAGAGACGCTACAATGCACTGATGATCTTAAAAACTTTAAATTTACACATTCGTACATCCAAATCTTTAGAACGTGATCCCATGGGACAGCTATACAGACTCCCCATTAGTTTTACATTTACTATTGTTATAAAAAAATATATAAATATATTGCATTTGTATGGCACTGAAACGTGTATTTCAATGTTCAAGACCGGACGTATTTCATTACTTTATTGACCTGGAAACATTCAAAGGAATATATGGATGTATGGCGCAAAGATGACATAATTATGTTGGTAAAGCACTAGCATTTCACCACCATATCGATAATATCACTTGTCTTTCGGATGGTTTGGTATACATGTATATATCAAAGTTGCACAATTAAGTTACATCAATATTGTATTAATAAATGTTAAGGTCGTTGACTCCAAACCACCTGCTCCTTATCGTTGTTGGTTCGCATCCCGACAGGGACTTTTGGATTCATTTGGAGAAGCTACCAGCCACCTAACGGAACATCGGTGGTTCTACTCAGTGCCCGTTCGTGCCTGAAATAATGCAGGGCACCCGAGGTTTTCCTCCACCAATAAAGCAGGAACGTCGCCATAGGACCTATACTGTGTCGATGTGACGTAAAATCCAATCAAACATTTAACTTGAGAAATAACAAGAAATAAATTGTACATACTTAACGTTTGATTTATTTAACAAAAATGTTTTAAATTTTTTTTTTTCAATAATTAGATGATAAAAGTAGTATTGAGAAGAAATTTGAGGATGAAAATATCTTTGTCTACTATAGTGTCAAGTGGATTTGAGCATTAATTAAATGAAAAAATGTGTTGTTTGTACACCATTAAAAAGATTAAAAAGAATCTAGAAAATACAGTAACATTAAAATGTAATTGTTAAGATGATGATATTCCTAGCACTGAAAATGTTTTGCAAAGAAATATGTTATGCGTTCCTGCCATTTTCTAACAGTCCATAGACGTTACGTAAAACAACACGTTTTTGTTTCGTTCTGTTTCAAAGAATTATCTTTTCTGATTTTTCAGTTATAAAAATACACTTAAACTTATTGCGAAACTTTCAATCATTTTATTTGGTACATATTTATTTTGTTTTAATTCAAGACTGGGACGCCAAATGTTGGCAGCCATGTTCAACTGGAACCATTTTATGGTTAGCACGTCACGGTGATGAACCCGGATTTAGTTGTATACCTTGCACGTATTTTTCACTTTCATCAGCATGGAAGATCAGGTGCCCGACTAATGGTTCCTTGACCATCCCTAATAGTGTTTATGGTAAGGAAGTGGTCATTTTATTAAAGTTTGTTTCCATTCAATGCTATTATGCTGAAATATATTTTCTACAACCGTAACAGCTCGAAGTCTTGCGATGAAGTTAATATTTATATTCATATTTGCGACATTCATTTCATTCTTCTTGTTTGTACTCCTCGAGAGTATAATGATGACTTTATTTCACTAGTAACTGCTCCGATTTATTTGCATAGAAGTGGGTAATGTTTCAAGTCTTAAAAATTAAAAAATACACTTTTGCTATAAGTTCAGATATTTTTTTCTAAGAGCTTTATTGATTTTTATTTTAACATTTCAGCTGAAGAAGCTTAATAAAGCAACACAAGCATCGATTAACATTGTTCATAGATTTTTATGGATTTATTTCTATAAAATTCATTAAATTTACCATAAGTGTTCGAAAGTTAAAGTGCTGCTGTTAACTTCTATATCCCGGTTGTTCAAAACATTGTTTAGTGGTAACCAACCAATAAAAAACATTATCCACTGGCTTAAAGGGAGATGAAGGCAAAATTTTCATTTCTTAGTTTTGAGTTTTTCAGTCATTATTCTGTAAATGCTTTCAAAATGAATATATTAGACAGTCAAAGAAACCAAACTTTTCTCCATATAAAGAATAAAATGGTGGTTTCCTAACTTGACCCGCATGGATTTCACAATAGTTGTCAAAGTGAATTCCGGAAACGTTAAAGAACATGTCAAGTGAATGACTTAGACTTGTTTCAATCATACAATATCCATGATATTTGTTATTGTAACTACAAGCGTTTGTTCAAGTCAAGTGACTTGTTATAAAACTATTTGGTGATTCTATTAGGGTCTAAATCTTGTTCAACATATATAGATATATTGACGCTTCAAACCCAAAATATTTAGAATTTAAACAGAAATTCATGCTGAAACTTCAAGAAATGTCATTTTAGCGTGTTTTGAGTACATAAGATCGTTTCAATATTTTTGTCATTATTTTGCCTGAATATCCCTTTAAAATTGTCTGTTGGATAAATTTTGTTGCTCAAATGTTGATCTAATGGATAAAATATGTTATCCAGTTGTTAACTTTAACCAGTCTTTGACCACTGTATAATGCCCTTAACCAGTGGGGAGTCACCATCATTAAGACAGTGATTTCAGTCAATTTTGATTTTATCAATTGGTTATCACTAACCAATGTTTGGAAAAAAACCAGGTCCTGCAGATTTCTTATTAAATTTTTGTATACAGCTATCAATGACTCTGTAGTAATATGGTGTATTGCATTTACATTTTATATGTTATGACAACAACTACATTAACTATGAACTTCATTTCCCCCCCTCTGCTTTTATCATGGCTTGGGACATGCTAGTTACTAGAACTAGGCAGCATTGAAAGAAGTGTAGTTTTATAGCTTGTCAAATCACAAACACACTGTTTCACTTCAATATTATACTGAATGGTTTGAGTCCACACAAAATCGCTACACTTCTCCCCCATCCAGTGGCCTGACAGTTTCTATGGTGAATGTCACTTTAGAGTCCATAAACGTGTAATTCCGGAATTAAATGTTTAACATCGATTATATTTCTCGTCGTCCGCCATAAAGAATCAGTCCTGTGAAAATAAAAAAGTATCGTACCATTCATGGTAAAATACAAGTATTTACTGAAAAAAATATTTATTTTATTAAATAAAGTTTTTAGTTAAACTATAAATTATTTTAGCTCGATTGCGAAACAAGTTCTTGCACCTTATATTAATCACTTTCGAGTCCGCTTCCTGGAACCAACCAGTACTTTGATAATTTCACTGTTTTGAATTAATCCCTTACGTTGTTTCAGTGAAATACCAGCGTGCACAGTACTGGGTACCAACTTAATGACGTGACGTCGTAAATGACGTCACGTTGTATCATTTTTTGGCGCGCTTTTCATTCAGTATTAGGTTTAATGTCTTTTTAAAACGTTTCTTTGCATGTAATAAAAAGAAAATTTGTTTAGTTTAGTGTAAGATCGATATATATTTCACCTTGTGAACACCAAAAGTTCATATTTCACTCGTGGTTGCGCCACTCGTGAAATATACCTTTTGGTGCTCACTCGGTGAAATATATTCCGATCTTACACTGAACTAAACAAATATCCTCTATATAAATATTCAGCATCCAAGAATGATTCACAGTTAGTATATGGTTTATACATGTATACTAAAAGATGTCTGTGTTGTCTGTGGTGGCAGATTTGGTACACTTTGCGCGTTGCGTTGTCGATAGCGACAACACAACCATTATTTGTATCACCTCTTCGTCTTGTAGCTAGCGAAACGCGCCAATCGGCGCGTTGACACACTGTCGTCTTGCCGTCCTGTCTCTATCGAAGCACGCCATACGGCGCATTGTCGTGTGGAACTACATTGTAGGCTAATACATGTATTTGGAATTGTTTCCTCCAGAATTGCTTGGTTAGCCAATGGATCATGTCATTTAGGAGGAAATATGTTGATGAATAAATAAAGAATATGACAGAGTAATGCCCCGGTCATGTCATATAGTCATATGTATTAAATGTTTATTATATAGGTAATTTAAGTATTTTTCAACTTAAAATAAAAAAGTTGGATAAATTAAGCAGACGACGTCTTAAGTAGTTCCGTTATAGTCACGACCATCCATTGGTTTATTCTCAAAATATGCTTACTACGTGCATTTTTCGGTGTCAAATTATTAATTTTATTCTATGTAAAAGTAAGAACATGTATACAATATATCATACTAATAAATGCATTATAGAAATCTAATCAGGAAATGTTTAGATATATAGTCAATACAAAAGGGATTCTAGATAAAATTATATAAATGCGAACCGATCAAATACAAAATGTATATTTGATCGTTACAACTTCTCATCTAGATCTATCTCCCTTCCATTATATGTCATCGTTAAATATAATATGTTTTTTCTTATAGCTATCTTTTTTGTATGCAATTTTTATTCGATTCATAGCACTTTACTATGAACTGCCTCTGAATTTAAGAATGCAAGATTTCTGTTTAATATACCGAATAAATTGAGTACGAATTAAATGTGTGGTCTAGGGGAGTTAAATGTCCGCTTCGTCGCTGCAAGAAAATAAACATTAGATAGGCCTTAAATTAACAAAATTACAGATATTGCCTTAACAAAATCACAGATATTGCCATGGAGTTTCCACTGATTTCTTCCATTCAAAGAGTAAATATTTATGAAACAAAAGCGGTAAGTTTAGTCATACTTTTATTAGATCACATCATTCTTTCATCGATTATAATTATGAATCAGTTCGTACCTAAAATTATTCGTACTACGGAAGTTTTCCTCATTTGCTTATACAAGTTTTGCCCGATAAAAATTGAATTTGTACTGGTATTCTTATTGTGACTAACATTAAGGTGTAAACTAAACAGTTGTTTCGTTTGTGAATCATCAAATAATACCGCTATGTTCCTGATGCATTAGACTAATTTTTCCTATTAATAATTGTAAAATAACCATTGAATATTAATCCTGCAGAACAACATAAAGTATATCCAAAATTGATCCAAATGCCTGGAACTAAGGATAACTATGCTCTTTTTTCTAAAGATAACTTAAAATTGATAAAAGCCATTTTTGCAAATAGGCCTACAGTCAAACCTGTGAAAAAGGTCAAACATGGCCTTTATAAACAAGTATATAGGCATTATTTGGACATAACTTTGTTCTTTTTAATAATTGATGGATTTTGGAAAGTGGCCTTTATTTAAAGGGTGTTTTTTTATTCAGAGTTGGTGTTTAAAACAGGTTTGACTGTATGTTTTGATTCAACAGTCAAGGTAGATGTTATTTAGTCTACTGAATAGTCTATTTCTTACCATCACATATATATGTTACATATAATGTAGGTATCCACATGTAATTGTTTTTCTTTTTTCAGAGGTTCTATATTGTGGGTTCCAACAATACCGGGACTACATATCGAGTCCTTAAAGTTGATAGAACAGAGCCAAAGGAACTCCATATTCATGATGACAAGGTATTTTATGCATAGAAATTTATTAGATATCCTCGAAATTATTTGATGCACACGTACACCATTTATAAATATCATACTGTGACAGTGTGTTTATTTATTCTTTTGCTACAGATTATATAACAAGTACACATAGAGTGATGGTTTAAACATATTTGTTTAAGCTCGATTGCGAAGCAAGTTCTTGCAACTTATATTAATCACTTTCGAGTCCGCTTCCTGGAACCAACCAGTACTGGTGTCGTATGAAGAAACATGGTCGTGACCCGAGTAGGGCTCGAACCCATGATCTCTGGGTTGAGAGGCAGACACCTTAACCACTAGGCCACCGCTCCCCTTGTGATATACTCATAGAAGGTTTTTATAAAGGTTTTATGCCTTGATTTAGGCAAACTTAAATGATGGCTGATCATCTCTAAGAAATGACACAGCTTCTCTAATATATTGATCAATGAATTCTCTTTTATCAAACAATTTATATGATCATAAAGTAGGACTGTGAGCAGTTAGTTATATCTGTTGTCTCCTCATTTTCAGCATATTTACAGCCATCTGGAAATAATGAACTTATTGACAACAATAGAATCAGGTAACAGAACAACAACCAAGCAAAAACAACAATCAACTGGACTTACAAAGAGCGTCTCTGCATATGGTATAGTAGGTAAGTATCTTTATACAGATTTTAAAGTATCAAATTGCTTTAAAGGGACTCGCCCATTTTTTGACAGGTAACAGGACTAGAAATAATTTTTCAAGAATAATGTTCCATTTGATTTAGGTATAGATCAGTAACTTGTGTGAAAATTTTCAGATCATTCATTCATTCACTCAGGTTTTTCCAGAATAATTATTCCAATTATTGTGAAAAATGAGCCAACATTGAAAAACATTGCAATGTTTTAAACTCAAATTGGGCTAAACATAGCACAAAACTATGATTTTTTCAATCTATTTTCTTTTCAAGGTTTTGTGAAGTTCCTAGAAGGTTACTACATGGTGCTAATCACAAAGAGGAGTAAGGTGGCCCTCATTGGCGGGCATACTATTTACAAGATAGAGGACACAGTGATGCAATATATACCTAACGATGGAGTCCGATACACGCATCCTGATGAACCTAGGTTAGTGCACAAAGTTCAATATATTAATGATAATTAACCTGCTAAATTTATATAATGGATTCACCTAGCTTTTGATTTGGAATGTTCCATTTAATGTTAAAGGGATTTTAATATTAAAACACAAAAATTGGTGGTAAGCTACCTGCAGTATAAAATTAATATGATTTTAGGAATTGTGATATATCTCAAAGCAATACAAACTAGTACTGTAATATGGTATTCAAAGTTTGAAAAAAAATGAAGAAAGAAATTAAAGGAAATTTCAATTTAAGTTTAACTTTGCACTTACTAAGAGAACTTAACTCTTACCATGCTAATTTTGTTTCTGTTTTAAGTAGGAACTTATGTAATTAAAAGCCTTTAGTATATTGTGAATGTAAGAGATTTTGTATAAAAAAATTAAAGGTTAAAGGTTACTCTAACAGTATACACATTTCCTTAAATGAAGGATAATCTTATACAGTTACTTGATCTTAAAAGAAGTCAAAAGATTACCTTGAAATACATGTTCTTTGAATATCAATTAAAGGCAGAAAGCTGTATAATTATAATAGCTTGATAAATTTTTGTATATGCTAGTTCTGATAATAAACATGTAGACTACAGTCCAACCTGTCTTAAGAGACCAGCCAGTGGTGAAGAGGAAAGTGGTCTGTAAAGACAGGTGGTATCGTAACCCAGGGTCACTTTTTTGCTGAAAAGTTTTATGAAAAAATCTCAAAGCCTTGTGTGTCTTTCTTCATGTATGATGTTTATATGCAAATATTGTAGCTGGGGTTATTAATGATGTATTATGAATTATTCTGTTATTTCATTCATTATGCAGGTATGTGAAGATGTTTCAAAGCGTGGACCTGTCCAGCAACTTTTATTTCAGGTAAATATTTTTTTATTTTTACTGGTTTCCCAGAGAATGTTTGCTGATTCTATTATGATGTTTACTGATTCCTTAATGAAGTTTATTAAAACCACAGTCAAGTTAATAATTCATAAAATGAAGTTTACTATTTCATTCAATGAAGTTTACTGAATGGCTTATCAAAGTTTACAGGTTACTAAATGAAGTTTACTGATTTCCTTATCAAAAGTTACTGGTTATGCATTGAAGTTTACTGATTCCACAATGAACTTTACTGATTCCACAATGAACTTTACTGATTCCTAAATGACTTTTACAGATTCATAAAAGGTATTAATACATTTTTAGTCCCCTACCGGTTTACCGGAGGGGACTTTAGGTTTACCCTCCGTCTGTATGTCCGTCCGTCCGTCTGTCCGTCCGTCAGTACGTCCGTCCACAAAACTGGATCCCGCGATAACTCAAAAAGTACTGAAAATATTTTAATGAAACTTGATATATGGATAGATGGCAGTATGGAGATTATGCACGTCTTTTTCTTTTCTTCCTATGTTGAAAATTCTGGTTGCTATGGCAACAAATAGACTGAAAATATGGCAAATTTTACTCATAACCTGGATCCCGCGATAACGCAAAAAGTACTGAAAATATTTTTATGAAACTTGATATATGGATAGATGGCAGTATGGAGATTATGCACGTCTTTTTCTTTTTTTCCTATGCTGAAAATTCTGGTTGCTATTGCTATGGGTAGATGGCAGTATGGAAATTATGCACATCCTTTTCTTATCTTCCTATGTTGAAAATTCTGGTTGCTATGGCAACAAATAGACTGGAAATATGGCAAATTTTACACATAACCTGGATCCAGTGATAACGCAAAAAGTACTGCAAATATTTTTATGAAACTTGACATATGGGTAGATGGTAGTATGGAAATTATGCACATCCTTTTCTTATCTTCCTATGTTGAAAATTCTGGTTGCTATGGCAACAAATAGACTGAATTTCAAGATTTCTGATTCTAGTTTTTAAGTTTTTTCACTAAAAGTTCTTTATTTCTTAAGGTATTTTCTTCAAACTTTAAATATAAGTTGCTAGTCATCAACCACATCATATGTGACAAGGTTTACAACTCTAGCACAAAATTTATCAGAATTACCTCCCTTGAACTTAAAATTTTCATGAAAAAAACATTGGTTTTTTTAATAACTTCTTTTTTTGTGAATGTATCTACTTCAAACTTCGTATAAATGTTTCTTATTATCACTTAACATTTGTGAGTGTTCAATACTCTAGCAAGACTATTTCCAGAATTATGCCCCTTTTGAACTTAGACTTTTTTTTTTAGAAATTGGTAATTTTTACTCCAACTTCTTCAATCATGATAGGATTTTCTTCAAACTCCTACATCATAATAATATGACAAGGTTTATAAATCTAGCATCCATATTTCCAGAATTATCTCCTCCTTAAACTTTTAATTTTTCCTATTCGTTCTTTTAACTTTCATTTACTTCAAATTCAAAATAAACATTCAATATTCATACCTTCATTACTAATTGTTCTTTGTTACACTCACATCATGTATGACATCGTTATCTCCTTTTTAAAAATTTTGCTTTTAAAAATGTTATATTTTGATAACAGGGATGTTTAAAAAATAACTTTAGAGTGTCCTTCAGTCCGTCTGTCTGTCTGTACATAAAAACTGTTTCCTGTGATCACTTTTAAAGAACTTTTTCAACAAATTTACTTAAAATAGAAACATAAGTGAATGGCCAATGGCCCTTCAGAATGTTGCTTGGGCTCTTACCGGTAGGGGACTTATGGATTGCTTGCAATACTATGATAATTGCTTGTTCAAACTTGTTTTTTTTATGTATGTTTCTAGTTATAGCTATGATCTGACTCATACGCTGCAGTATAACATGGAACCTGTTATAAAACCTGGAGACATGAGAAGTACACATGATAAAACTGACAATACTACAGGCATACCTGATGAAAGAAGCGATACTGGACCTCTAAAAGATGGTAATTTGATATGTTTTAGATAAATTACTTTCAACTGTAGACTTGATTGTACATGAATATTGTCAGGACTTGGCATTTTGGTGGAAGTGGTTTAATAGAACTACTGGTTCAAGGAACAAAATTTTATGAACAGATGTGCCAGTGATTTTTTTTTTAAGCTTTAATTTTTTTTGAAACCTTTTTCAGACCCATTCATAAAAATTTCTACCATCTAGTAGTTCATATAAAAATTCAGACTTGTAATATATTATTTAAAAGCACAGACATATATACACTAATTAATCTGTATGATAAAAGTATGTCTGCAAAACTTTCTGACAAATACATTGGATTTTTCTTTTGTCAAGTTGCACAATTTGTAATTGTAATTCAGTGAAAAAGGAAGCCAAATTTTGTTTTAGTTCCACTTGAGTAATTGCCCTTTTTACATCTTTTTACATTTTTTGCATTAAAGCTTTATGCTTTTCTGTGACTGATTGAATTTTCGAACCATTTTTACTTTTAATTGCGATAGATAAACTCCAAATTATTTTTGACATTTTGTCTTATGTTGTAATGATATTCGCAAGTTGAAAATACCGCTAATCTAGGTTGTATCATAGTTTGGGGACCTTTCAGTTTAAAATGTGTCAGAGTTAAATCATATACATATACATGTACATGCAAAGTGTGTTAACTGGAGTGCAGGTATTAGTTACCAGCACTCCAGAGCTTGCCCATTGATTGGCTCATTTTTGCGGGGGTTTACATACTGTGACGGCAGAGAAAGGGAAAGCGACAGAAATATCATATTCAGATGTCGTTCATTGGTTACATTTTTCTGGGCTTTCATATTGTGACAACAGGGAATGTGTTTTTATGTTTGACTATGATACAAAAGAGAAAGAACATCAAAACATTTGGCAATCTGATTTATACTCAGGGTCTACGCCTCCTTGTACAAAACAGCCTCGTGTTTCGATGCTCTTTCTATTACTAGTATCCCACTACGTAATTTTTAGAACCAATTTGCTTGATGATCTAAATAACACCCATAAAATGTGTCCCGGAAAGTAGCCTTGAAATTATGGCATGTATGCAGCAGGTAAGATGGGAAGTGATCAACATAGCTTAATCTGTTTGATGTATCTTTAAACAAACACATCTTAATGTAAGTAAAGCATAGGTTTCTAGGGTCAAAATTATAGATCACTCACCAAAACCCATAACTCTAACATTGATTGTTTCTTTTTGTGAAGTAATTAAATTTCTGGTTAACATTTTGTGTGCGGCTTTATTTCTTATTAAGAACTGATGTATTTCTTTTAAAACATTACACAGGTCTTCAGGGTCATAATTGCAGGTCACTGACCTTGACCCTTAATTCTATTGTAGATCATTACTGAAATGCACTTTTGAGTCAGCTTAAACAATGGACTCTCCAGTTATTAACTGTGAAAAGTTTAGCTCTGTCTTTTCTGTTCAGTGCTTAATCAATTGTGAACAAACAGTAGTACAAACAACACCATGTGTTCTTTTTTGTAAACCAGGCAAGCAGTGACAAAGAATTATCCCAGTGTAGCAATTGGATAGCCAATCCGCCATTTTGCATAATACAGTAAACACTTGAAAGATCCATTCTATCATGATCCTTATAAAGAGTTATGGAGCATGAAGTTTTGTGACACGGTTTTTATATTGCTGATGCAACTGCTTTATTTACAGATGAGGAAGTTGTTTATGGAGTGAAATCCAAGCCAGAGACAAAATACATCTGGAATAAACACTTAACTGATATATTCAAGGAAGAAGTTCACCCAGATTGGGTGTTACATCTTGTTTATGGTTTTATAGCGCAATGCAGTATCCTTTCTTGGAGTTTTGTTTTACTTTTTGTAAACCTAGATTTGTAATTATCTTGGTTAATTTAATTTTTAATTTTTTCTAGTTATACATGTATTATGTGGATTTCATTTTTGTACAAACAATTACTGGTAATTAATTCTTGTATACCATTAATACAGCATCTATAGTTATTTTATATAATGTTAACTGACTTCATTCTATTTCCAGTTAATTTTCATTGACTCATTATTAATATGTACTAAGTATGCTGTAGCTAATAATAAAAATAATTTCCCTATTGCAGTTTGCTGATTCCCAATACATGTAGATTGAAGTTTAATGATTCCTTATTAAATTAAAGTTAACTGTGATCTCCAATAGAAGTTAACTGATTCCAGATTGACACTTTATTATATGACTTACTTATCCCATTATAAAGTTAATTGATTTACAGTGCTGTTGAAGGGTAGAAATAGATGGTTTTCACAGACTAAAATACTTTGCAAATTCTAAAAAAATTTAAATAAATTTTATCATTGAAAAAGGCAAACTGTGTCATTTGGAAAGTTTTCTGCCTTGATAAGTGATTTTAACTACAGATTTAACTGTATTTTACTAATTTCTTACCATTACCATACTAAATATTATTTAAATGAACTTGTCTGTCTTTCAGTTTTGACAAAACAATTCATCATTTTAGGAAAAATTTCAGAATATCTATTATCTACTGACTGCATAGTGAACAGTGCAGACCATAGTCATGATGCACAAGTGTTTCGGATAATTTTGGTGTGCACTGATCAGGTTACATGGGTAGATCCAGTTGCAGCAAGCACGCCAAATGTTAAGATTACTTGCCAATGCCTTAACATATTTTAGATCTCTACATCTATGGCAAGTCTGTCTATGTAGCTCTGATAGCAAGGAGATCTAACGAGTATGCTGGTACAAGATTTCTTAAAAGAGGGGCAAATAGTCAGGTACGTACAATTGTTCTGTTGTACTTTTACAACTTACCAACTTTTACATTGTATAATTTGTGTAACAGGTTATTAAATTTGATTATTTTGGGGGTTAACGAGACCTCTTAGCATTATAAATAGAGAATCGCCCTTTTCAAAGCCAGTACAATTTTAGACATTTTTGAAATAACATGTTTTACTCAGAAGCGGTGACTATATTACAACCGAAATGAACTGTATGGGCAAGCATAATACTTGAGCCGCGTCATGACAAAACCAACATGGTGCGTTTTCGACCAGCATGGATCAAGACCAGCCTGCGTATCCGCTCAGACTGATCAGGATCCATGCTGTTCGCTATCAGTTTCTCTATTTGCTATAGGGATTGTAAGCGAACAGCATGGATCCTGATCAGACTGTGCGGATGTGCAGGCTAGTCTGGATCCATGCTGGTCGCAAACCCATTATGTTGGTTTTGTCATGACGCGGCTCATATATAGTAAATACTCAGTTAAACGGATGAGCAGTTTTTAGCTCGACTGTTTTGTTGTTGAAATATGCATATATATACTACATTGTGGTACATTGTTACTTTTGAAATATTATATTTACACCTTTAAACCAGATATTTATGCAATTGTACCAGATATTTATTAAATTTTTTATTGTCTGTCAGTTTTAACTAGGATGATTACTTGTAAGAACAGTAGAGGTGATAAACAAAATTGGCACTAAGTGTAGTAAGTGTTCATCCTTATTTCTTCTATAGAAATTATATAGAAAAGTCAACAGGAGTGACTGGAGAATGATTACTAATTTCTATAGAATTGTAATGTATGAATACTAATATACTTAGTGGGAAGGTCTATTTGACATTTACAAAAA